TCAAAGCTTGAGTTTTGGTGAAAATTTCAACCAAAGCCTGGAGAGGGTGACCTTGCCATCGAGTCTTCAAAGCTTGAGTTTTGGCTGGAATTTCAACCGAAGCCTGGAGCGGGTGACCTTGCCATCGAGCCTTCAGAGCTTGAGTTTTGGCGATGATTTCAACCAAAGCCTGGAGCGGGTGACCTTGCCATCGAGCCTTCAAAGCTTGAGTTTTGGTGAAAATTTCAACCAAAGCCTGGAGCGGGTGACCTTGCCATCGAGCCTTCAAAGCTTTAGTTTTGGTTTGGATTTAAACCAAAGCCTGGAGCGGGTGACCTTGCCATCGAGTCTTCAAAGCTTGAGTTTTGGCCCGACATTCAACCAAAGCCTGGAGCGGGTGACCTTGCCATCGAGTCTTCGAAACTTGAGTTTTGGCCGGCGTTTCAACCGAAGCCTGGAGCGGGTGACCTTGCCGTCGAGTCTTGAAAGTTTGAGTTTTGGCCTTGATTTCAACCAAAGCCTGGAGCGGGTGACCTTGCCATCGAGCCTTGAGAGCTTGAGTTTTGGTGAAAAATTCAACCAAAGCCTGGAGCGGGTGACCTTGCCATCGAGCCTTCAGAGCTTGAGTTTTGGCTGGAATTTCAACCAAAGCCTGGAGCGGGTGACCTTGCCATCGAGTCTTCAAAGCTTGAGTTTTGGCTGGAATTTCAACCAAAGCCTGGAGCGGGTGACCTTGCCATCGAGCCTTCAGAGCTTGAGTTTTGGTGAAAAATTCAACCAAAGCCTGAAGCGGGTGACCTTGCCATCGAGTCTTCAAAGCTTGAGTTTTGGCTGGAATTTCAACCAAAGCCTAGAGCGGGTGACCTTGCCATCGAGTCTTCAAAGCTTGAGTTTTGGTGAAAATTTCAACCAAAGCCTGGAGTGGGTGACCTTGCCATCGAGCCTTCAGAGCTTGAGTTTTGGCGATGAATTCAACCAAAGCCTGGAGCGGGTGACCTTGCCATCGAGCCTTCAGAGCTTGAGTTTTGGCGATGATTTCAACCAAAGCCTGGAGCGGGTGACCTTGCCATCGAGCCTTCAGAGCTTGAGTTTTGGTGAAAAATTCAACCAAAGCCTGGAGCGGGTGACCTTGCCATCGAGCCTTCAAAGCTTGAGATTTGGCTGGAATTTCAACCAAAGCCTAGAGCGGGTGACCTTGCCATCGAGTCTTCAAAGCTTGAGTTTTGGTGAGAACTTCAACCAAAGCCTGGAGCGGGTGACCTTGCCATCGAGCCTTCAAAGCTTGAGTTTTGGCCGTGATTTCAACCAAAGCCTAGAGCGGGTGACCTTGCCATCGAATCTTCAAAGCTTTATTGCTTCCCATCCGTTGGGCATGATATCTGTCAGTTGTGCAGGCTGTGCTTAGTTTCTATGACGCGCCCCCCCAATAGGTATCAATGCAAAAGAGGCTTGAGGCGACCAAGCTGTGGTGCCCCGGTTCGTTTGCTTGGTTTATAACTAACGTAACTAGGGTGCTTGATGATTCTGATTCCAATGGCCATTTCAGGAACCTAAACCGGAGGTAATATAAGGCCTATATAAGGCCTATGTAAGGGAATATCCCCACAACATATGGCCTTATATGGTACAGTACCTGCATCTTAGGATCCTGAAATTCCCATTGAAGATATCTGGGATGGGTTTGGTAATCAACTCATAGGCGATTTTCCCATTTACAGGTTATTCCCAGCTGCAAACCTCCAGTTCAGGCATTTTCCAGGTACTTTTGATGACACCAGAGGGTTTAACTGGGGACCACTGTGGGGTGGCTTGAAAATCCACATTTTGATTAGCGAATGCATCCAGAGTCCAGCGTCCAATCACTGGATATTGTAATTAGGACATAACTCATAACATGACATAACTATATAATATGATCACTGACAACTGATAGATTTATTGATTTTATAATTTTCTACATACTCTGCCTTTAACTTTGCCGTCGTCATTGCAACTACATGGATACACTGGATCTAGCACCTAAAAGCTTTTAGCGTCGTGTTTTTTTCCAATCTATATCATATCCCAGAGTACTTTTGATGACCACAGCCACTTCCGTTTTAAGGAGAGGATGATACCAAGTCTTTCCAGTAACACCACTGGTGTCCGCTCGCAGGCTCCTGGCTGGTATTTTTCGACCTCGGAAACGCGGTGGATGCTGAGGGAAGCCTCAGATTTTTCGCCGGAGCAGCGAAGAACATCGGAACCAGGGGGAAAATGTGGGGAAAAAAAGTGTTCTTTATTCTTATTTTAGCCTAAATAACACCAGTGGAAATCTCACACACATATAAAAAACACCAGGGCATAATTTATGGAATGTATTGCTATGTGCTCAACCCTGTGCCACATTTGTATACAATTGAAATACACCAGGGTGCCATCCCGGACATCCCAGTACTCCAGCTGATCTGTTGAGATTGTTTGGCCCCAGCGTAAGTAGGTGATCATACTGGTGTGAACGACTTTACGAAGATGTTACCCTGGTGTAAGCGTTAATCGTTTACTATATGTACATATATAATCATATATATATATATATATCTTATAGATGTGGAAAATCAGTGAACATCAGTTGTGTTCCTATTGATCTACACACAATTAGTGGCTTCTCCACGTCTATTTTGATTTTCAGGGAAATGACTCAACGATCTTCCAAAACGGCCACTGGGTCATGCTCCGACTATCTCCAACCATACCTAGCAGGATTGGATTTTTTGCGATCAGGCCTTTCTTCATCATGTCAGCCTCGTGCAAAGAGGCAGAAATAATTTGGTACCGTGGAACGCAAATTTACAGCTTGCCAGGAGAAATCTCAGTCCGGGTTTGTCCTAAGATAGGGTACCCCCGAAACCACAACTGGGGTAAACCTACCAGTTTCAGACACAACCAAATATGCTATGTTGTTGATTTTATCAAGTTATATGCCATATTCCATTATATCATATCCCCATTATATGTCACTATATCCCCATCATATCCCCATGTTATGAGCTGGTGGTTTCAAACATTTTTTATTTTCCATTTCATATATGGGATGTTATCCTTCCCATTGTCTTTCATATTTTTCAAGATGGCTAAAACCACCAACCAGTTTTTTCATCTCAATATAATCCTATAATATAATCTCCATTTTTGATCCCCATATAGTCCCATGATAATCCCCACCAACCAGTGAGTCAATTACCCTCTGGTAATTTTGTCGATAGCGAAGTGGAAAATCACCAGTATCACCAGTGGCCACGGCCTCACGAGATGAACATGTGCCGCAGACCTCGCCGCCAAGGTCTTTGGTTCTGAGTTGTCGTCATTTCTTTGCGAAAAAAAACACGTGGATTTGTCCAAAAATGCTGGATTTACACATTTACACTCAAAGTATGGGGCTTTGAATGGGGATGACGGTTTTTGGAATCTGAGGTACATCTTTTTTCAGACAAACCCATTCATGTCCAAAACCCATTCATGTCGATCCATGAATATTCAGAGAAATAGCCCTTTCCATGAGTGTGTCGATGAGCCACGGCATGAAATTGTGTGCCCTATTTTTGGACAAATTCATCAGCGACAATGTTGGCCTGCTGAAAAGTGGCATGGCCATTCGAACCCAGAAAAAAAAGACATGCAGTAGCTGCGGTGATAGCTTGTTTGGTCATTTGACGGCCTCTCGTTTCAGTATATAGTGTGTATGAAAACCTAGAAAATAACCTCCTGGTAATCTGATTACATCTGATTACCTAAATAATTTACCTGGGTTTGATGATTACCAGGAGGTTTTAGGTTTCATGATCCAGGAGGTTTAAGATTGGCAAGAAATGACCAAAAAGTCATGAAAACCCCGATGATTCGATGCTGATTTTGTGAATCTCGATAGTGAACTTCCAGCTATGTTTGAGAACCAGCTATCCACTGCATTTGTTTTCGCTTGTTTTGTATCTTGCATCTATGGGTATGGATCAACAATTTGTAAACAACATGGAGATAGAGAGAAAGTTGCAGATGTATCTCTCTGTCCTGTGTATATCTAGTTATAGTGTATGCATATTTACTATGGCACATCAATGTGTATATATATATATATACATGATATGTTATGCTATACTCTGTACACATATTCTACAATACATATATATATATATACATACATATACATATACTATATATTATATACATTATATATATACATTATACACTCAACTTCTATAAAACTATAATATACACCCTTATCACATATATATATATATATGTGTATTTTCTACATGTATATATATTCTACAATGTGGCGCCCCCGTTCGATAGCTAAGTTGGGCCAAATAACTACAATTTCACTCAGGATACCCCAAAGGCTGGATGGTTTATTTCATGGAAAATCTCATCACAAACTAGTTCGATGATGTTAGATGGGGTTGTAAACCCAACGTTCACATAACGTTTGCGGGCCCCACATTGTATGATTTTCTTACGGTTTTCCTGGTGAAATCACCATTGTCCTATGGTTTTCCTATGGTTTTCCCATGGTTTGCACATTGGGATGGTGTTTTGCCCTGGCTTCAAGGCATCCAGGGATCCCAAGTTAAACATTTACAGTTTGCCATGGAAAATCAACAAAAGTTTAATAGGTCAATCAACTATTTCTATGGCCATGTTTAATAGCTATTTTACATTCCCAGAGGGTCTCAACAATTACAAACCGTGTATATATGATGTACAATACGTAATTATTTATGTTTGAATCCGAAAGTATCAACAAGGGGTTGTCATTGTACATATTACAGGGAAAACACGGGGCACACATTTATACATAAGATCATATGAGACATGATAAGAACAACTTTAAACGTCAATGAGCTCTGTTATCAACCTTTATCAACAGATGTTATCAACTTATCAACAGGTACCATGGCAGTTCATAATTGTTTACAGCCCCAGGGCCACCACAGAAAACACCTCTGGGTGACTGGATATCTCGTCTTCTGACATCTCCGGCGATTCTCGACCATGGCATGCAATGGGGGCATGCCATTCGAGCAGACGCTTGGATGAAGCAGTGGAAGATCGGATGCATTGGGTGTATCAATGGGGTGTTACTGGATAAACATCATATACTCTTTGGCAAACTAATATAGCTATGGGAAACCACCATTGTTTATAGGTAAATCAACTATAAATGGTTATTTTCAATAGTTATGTTAAATTACCAGAGGGTAGTTAAGTTAAATTAGTTTAATATCTATAGTTAATGTCAACATGAACTATACTATATAGAATATAGATATATCATAGATATAAACCCTATTAAGGACTCTACAAACCCTAACTCGTGAACTAGTAGTATACTATATAGTATTATATATATTCTTCACTCGACAGTTAGATCTACCACAAACTAGATATAGTTAGCTATGATACGATATCTATATAAACTATAGATCTACAGGCATAAGTAACCATAAATATAATAGGTAACATTAGGTAACCATAAGCCATAGATATGATATATCATCTATGATTCAATGATTTATTGCTTTATAAAACGTATAGATCTTTTGATTTAAACTAACTATATAATCCACCACGAACCCAAAAAAAAAACACATGAGCAGCCGCCAAAACCTCCAAGTGGAGATTTAAAGGGCGTGTAAAGTAAGATGGCTCCGCGAAAGCTAAAACCAATTTCGCGAAAGATCCGCGAAAGCTTTTGCGAAGATTTCCTTCCGCGAAAGCTCGCGAAAGAGACTTTCAAGACTCAAAATCCTGGTTTTAAGTATGTTTGTAGACAGCTTCCTCAGATGTATCTGGATCCATACGGATACATTATTCACAAATTTCGATAGATGTGACCCGAAATCCGCGAAAGCTTCGCGAAAGCTCCGCGAAAGATCCGCGAAAGCCTTGACTAGCTGGGACGGCCCCCCCCATTTGATAGGGGAGTGGCAGTGCCCACTGAGATCTGGCGCTTGTGGTGTCTGGCTGTGCCCACTGAGATCCGCGGTCGTAGTTGGGGCCCGGCAGTGCCCACTGAAATCTGGCGCTCGCGGTTGAGGTCCGGCAGTGCCCACTGAGATCTGGAGCTCGCGTTTGAGGGTGGGGTGGAGGACGAGGAGGTGAAGGAGGAGGAGGCCACCATGAAGGAGGAGGAGGCCACAAGATGCAATATCAATCCACATGTTGCCACAGTGATAACTGCTGCAAAACGATGCCCGTTGTGCTTGGAATTAAAGGTTTCAATGCGCGCTTCACCGCGGAAAACGGGGAATTTGTGTCACATGTTTTCCGCGAAAGCTCGCGAAAGTGAATTGCAGACACATGGATGCCGCGAAAGAAAAACCCTGCATCGCGAAAGGTTCGCGAAAGAGATGGCGAAAGGGAAGATAGAATAGAACACAAGGTAACGGGGTTTCGGCAACCGCTCACATAAAAATTACTTTACTTCGTGTGATCCCCACCATGACATTTATACATTTTCTTACTGGCAAATCTTCTGGCATTCTATCTGACATATCTTCTGACATTCTATTTGACATTCTATCTGGCATATCTTCTGACATATGATCTGGCATATCTTCTGGCATATATTCTGACATATCTTCTGGCATATCTTCTGGCATATCTTCTGGCATATCTTCTGACATATCTATCTGGCATATCTTCTGGCATTCTATCTGGCATATCTTCTGGCATATATTCTGACATATCTTCTGGCATTCTATCTGACATATCTTCTGGCATATATTCTGACATATCTTCTGGCATATCTTTTGGCATATCTTCTGGCATATCTTCTGACATATCTATCTGGCATATCTTCTGGCATATTTTCTGGCATTCTATCTGGCAAATCTTCTGGCATTCTATCTGGCATTCTATCTGGCATATCTTCTGGCATATTATCTGGCATTCTATCTGGCATATCTTCTGGCATATATTCTGACATATCTTCTGGCATTCTGTCTAACTTTCTTCTGCACATTCTTTGTCCCATATCTTCCTACATGAGGTCCGGCAGGGAACACTTGGCGTGGATACTCGCGGTTGAGGTCCGGCAGGGAACACTGGGCGTGGATGGTCGCGGTTGAGGTCCGGCAGGGAACACTGGGCGTGGATGGTCGTGGTTGAGGTCCGGCAGGGAACACTGGGCGGGGATACTCGCGGTTGAGGTCCGGCAAGGAACACTGGGCGTGGATGGCCGTGGTTGAGGTCCGGCAGGGAACACTGGGCGGGGATGGTCGTGGTTGAGGTCCGGCAGGGAACACTGGGCGTGGATGGTCGTGGTTGAGGTCCGGCAGGGAACACTGTGGATCGCGGGTCGCAGTTGAGCAAGGACGACAAGGATGACAAGGAGGACGAGGAGGAGGAGGACGAGGCAGGAGGAGGCGGAGGAGGAGGAGGAGCAGGAGGAGGAGGAGCAGGAGGAGAAGGAGGAGGAGGAGGCAACTGACATAAAATCTAACAACCCTCACCTGGCAGGTGGGGAAAAAAACAGTTATAACATAGATCTACTATAACAGTTATAACCCATTTAGAACAATCCATTTAACTATAGTCAGTTAAACCAATAAACCATGGATCTACCAGGTCCTACCCAAATAGGACTCGTCCTACCCATCTGATCAGTCGAGGCGTCGAAGTCCCACGAAGTCGCGAGAGGAGACCTGGGAGACCTGTCACCCTGCTGTAAACAAACAGTTTTGCTATTGAAAATTGCAATAGACAGTGGATGTTCCCATAAAAAATGGTGATTTTCCATAGTTATGTGAACGTTTACCAGAGGGTAGTGAACATGGTGAGTTATCGTTGATTTATCTGATTTATGAGTTGATGAAGTTGGTCTATAAGTTTATAATCTCTTTTTTATATCCACTGATATGTGGAGTTTAGAGTTTCTGCAAGTTTGTTATAAGTCATAGTTAGTTAAGTTTGCTAAGCTGTTAAGCTAAGTGGGTTCGATATATCTGCCCTCTGGTAGTCCAACAGTTCGCTATGTGAAACCAGAGGGTAGATATATCGAACTAGTTTCCCTCCCATAACCATAATCAAACGGTAATGGAATATACCCTCTATAGTTATTTAACATAGCCATGGTATAGATGGCCCATAGAAATAGATGGTTTACCTATTAATAGCATGATGATTTTCCATGGCTATGTAACAAATAACCAGATTTTCTCATCAAAATCTCCAGGTTTTCCGTTGGATTTTCCACCAGATTTTCCATTGCCACCTCTGGTTTTCCACCGCAGTTTCGCGCTGGAAAACCAATGACGGTTCGGGGTTTTTAAGTCATGGGGGATCCCCAGTCGTCACTATCATCTATGGTTTATTGGTGTTTTTTTTAACCTATAGATCATTGAAGATCTATTGACTTAGTTAACTATAACCCATATGCTCCACGTATAGTATATTTACCTACATTTGGGTGATTTATGGGGTAAATGTTGGTACATATTCCATACATGGAGCATATGGGTAATCAGTGTCAATACAAAAGATTGTCTAATGACTTGGATGGGGCTATCCCCAGTTGCTCCGTTGCTCCATGCCATCCTGATGCAGGTTTAGATTGGATGGCTGTAACCATTGGATGGCGGTTGAGTTTGCGAAGATCAACTAAATGGTGGATATGATCAAAGCATATTCCACAAGTTCTGGATGATGGCTTTTGTCAACACAAATCGCATTTCGAAAGCTTTTCCTGCCATTTTTCTGCCATTTTTCCCTTAGATCATCTTAGATCCAACGACTTTTGGGTTGCTGATCATCCCAAGTTCACTCATTATTTTGGACTTGTGGGAATCAGCAAGTCAGCAACCCCTCCATGACATTCGTGGGAGTATGTCAGGACCCTAAAGTCAAGCTACTGTAGCATGTGATGGGAATTTGTTATAGCAATATCCCCTTAAACATCCTTAAACCGTGACCAGACTCTCTGAAACCAGGGCCAAAGTATTATCTATATAATAAACCCTAAAGATTTGGTAGGTACCTTTATAATCTGGGTACCAATTTAATAGGGTATATTCCCCACCACTGGGCTATTTCACATTATGGTTATAGTTATAATTGCTTATCCCACTTGTCAGCTATCAACATGTTTGTTTGTTAAATCACGGTGTATTTTTTTAAATTCTACTTGGTTCACCCATGTTTGATGGAGATGTGCCATAGAAATCCATAGAACGTTTCGTCGTTTCGCCGTTTCCCCATACAGCACTCCGCGCAGGCTGAAGTGCTACCTTTGACCGCCAGGCAGTTTTGGGAGAGACGGCGATGTTTTCTTTGTTTTGCATTGGGAAGTTGGAGATGTACTGCTACTGGTACCCGCCAAAAGTGCCCAAAAAGATGCCGAACAGTCAGAGTCCTGATCTACAGGATAGAAACGTCGTTAAAGTTGCATCCTGATTAGTAGCTAGGTTCGCGATTGTGAATGGGCTATTGTGGCTAAAAAACATATTATTCTGTTTGAACCCAAGTAGTCTTTGGAAGATTTGGAAAGCTTCACTATTGTGGCAAGACTTCTTGGCAGGCCATTTTTTTTTCAAAAACATGTATGTGTGCATGACAAAAAGCTTAACATTTTTTTCTGGAAAAAAAACACATATTGCATGTCTGCCTTTCCACAAGAATCAGATCGCTTATTAAACCCATATTAGAGAACAGATTTTCCACACATGTCCAATTCACTTCAGTAGGTTTGTTCCCAGGGTTCACAATTGCAGCAAAATTGTCCAGAGCTGATCCTGGAGCCAAAAGAAGAAAGGAAGGTCTTTTCCAAAAGCAATTGCCAAGTTCAAAGCCCACACCTTTCTCAAACGAATCAGATCGCATATTCAATCATATTCAATCGTTCTGTTTCTACCATTTTCCTAGGGTTTCCTATGGTTTTCCCATGGTTTCGTTCACGTTTCGTTACGGTTTTCAGCCACCAGGGACTTGCTGGAAGGGCATTCTGCGGCCTGGCAGGTGGGGGAGATGGGAAGTCCACCCTCTATGTTAATGTCCTCAGTGGGATTTCGACGGCTAATGATGATGGGATGATTAGTGGTGAATACGAGTGGTTCATGATGGTGGTTAACAACCATCCCAATAATCCATTATTGAATAATGGTTAATATATGAGTGGTAATTTAAATATGATGGTCCATATTGATGGTCAATAATGATGTTTAATAATGATGGTTAATGTCCTCAGTGTGATTTAATTAACCCAAACATTACTGGTTGGTGGTTTGGAACATGAATTTTCTTTTTCCATATATTGGGAAGTTCATCATCCCAACTGACGAACTCATATTTCTCAGAGGGGTTGAAACCACCAACCAGTCATTGTTATTTAATTAACCCAAACATTAAGGTTGCCATGTTCGCATTAATAACAATCATTAGATTCGTATTCTCAGATTGTTAATCTTCCATGTTCCATTTGTAGCTGCATTAATGATTAATGTTGGCTTCATCCCATTTCTGATTGTTACAACCCCATTACCTTCTGGAGCATGGTTTAGGATGATCCTATACGAGTAATCAATGGTTTGGGCTGATGATCCTATACCAGTAATGAATGACCCCATACCATTGAAGTTTAAGTGGTCAATCCTAAAATGGTTAACATGGCTATGGAAATGGACCATTTAGTTCGATGATTTTTGATGAACTACCTATCAAACATGGTGATTTTCCATGATTTTCCATAGGCTACGTCAAATGACGAGAGGGTGACCGTCAAAAAATAAAGATTTAACCAACAATAATGGGGACTATGGGCAAATCCATTAATTCTCGAGATTGTGCCATCAACAATGTGGGTGCAATAGGGATGGAATGGAATATGTTGGGAGATAACATTATATAATTATATACTGTAACCATATTTGGTTGTGTCTGAAATCGGGGATGGTCCGCATAAAATAACAGTGGGTCCCCTATTATTCAGACTGACAAACACTCATGTTTACTGGTGAAAACATGTGAAAACCATCGTTTCGTGTAGATTTGTTCACAAACAAGCCAGTGCATTGATTAATGAATTGTCTGATTTGACAGAGTCAGCAACACTGAGGGTACAACCAATTAGAACGAAGACAAAGCCAAGCATATTTGCTTGCGGCTCTGGGAATAATTATTCATTGCCGCTGATAGCTGGTGACTCATTGTTTCGTGGTCGATGGACCTGCGTGGCCCATTGCGGCACATCATCAGATTGTGGATTTTGGCATTTTCCGTAGCTATGTTGCATGTGAGGATCTGGGGTTGTAGAAACTACAGCTACAAGGCGGTTTTGGTTGACCACGACAGCACAGTGCCCTTGATGACTGTTTGAAGATTTCAATGAAATGATTCAGTCATAGTAACAAACACATGGATACAAATAGTACGTTTTAATGGTTCAATGATTTTTTTTGTTCAGTGCCATCAGAATCATGGTGATGTCAAATGATTTGAGTCTTTCTAATTTGTCACTGGATGTATAGCATGTGGCAGCCATTGTTTTCTCAAAATTGGTGCCCCCCCCGAACATGTTGCCAGAATAGATCACAACGATACGAAATTATGTCATCATTCCAAACCGGTTGGAAAGAAAAAATACAGAAACCCTTGAATTTGAAGACAAACAAGCATGGTTTCCTGCAGTCTTTTTCCGCAAACCAATCCATTGAATCCCGGGAAATTGCTGGAAAGCGCGCGATGCTGTGTAAAGAATCTTCAATAATGATGAAGAAAACCTGGATACTCAGTCAAAATTTGTCGATACTCTAGTCTCTAGTGCTTTAATCTTTAGCTATCAATATTACATCTAATTTCTGACGATGTCCGGTGCACAGCATGGTTATGTGGATCCATCATCTACTGACAAAGGTACAGCAGATGAAACTGATGAGGTCGATCTTCAGGTGCTTTGCTTGACTGGAGAAGGAGTGACACTAAGCGTCCCTTGCTCTATGCTTGGATCTGAGCTGCGCAGATTGGTGTCAGAGATGCTTCCATGCAAGCCAGGCGCAAAGCTCGCCGTGCATCATGTCAATACAAAGCTGACGCTGAATCAAACCTTGGCAGAGCAAGGAATTGTTGGAAAATCTGCAATGCTGTCCTGCACTTACATACCGACAAATATGTACACTGCATGGTGTTATGTCTGTGGGCTCCCAACTAGTGAGAAAGAGGTTGCGCTGGAAGGTGTTACACAACTTGAGACAGCGAGGAGTGGAGAGTATTTACATTATCTTCCCCGCAGCCTTGCAAAATTGACTTGTGCTGAAAATTTCAACCCAAGCCTGGAGCGGGTGACCTTGCCATCGAGCCTTCAAAGCTTGAGTTTTGGCCGTTATTTCAACCAAAGCCTGGAGCGGGTGACCTTGCCATCGAGCCTTCAAAGCTTGAGTTTTGACCATAATTTCAACCAAAGCCTGGAGCAGGTGACCTTGCCATCGAGCCTTCAAAGCTTGAGTTTTGGCCATGATTTCAACCAAAGCCTAGAGCAGGTGACCTTGCCATCGAGCCTTCAAAGCTTGAGTTTTGGCTGGAATTTCAACCAAAGCCTGGAGCAGGTGACCTTGCTATCGAGCCTTCAAAGCTTGAGTTTTGGCAATGATTTTAACCAAAGCCTGGAGCGGGTGACCTTGCCATCGAGCCTTCAAATCTTGAGTTTTGGTGATGACTTCAACCAAAGCCTGGAGCGGGTGACCTTGCCATCGAGCCTTCAAAGCTCGAGTTTTGGTGAGAGCTTCAACCAAAGCCTGGAGCTGGTGACCTTGCCATCGAGCCTTCTAAGCATGAGTTTTGGCTGGAATTTCAACCAAAGCCTGGAGCAGGTGACCTTGCCATCGAGCCTTCAAAGCTTGAGTTTTGGCTGGAATTTCAACCAAAGCCTGGAGCTGGTGACCTTGTCATCAAGCCTTCAAAGCTTGAGTTTTGGCCGTTATTTCAACCGAAGCCTGGAGCGGGTGACCTTGCCATCGAGCCTTCAAATCTTGAGTTTTGGCCATGATTTCAACCAAAGCCTGGAGCGGGTGACCTTGCCGTCGAGTCTTGAAAGTTTGAGTTTTGGCGTTCATTTCAACCCAAGCCTGGAGCGGGTGACCTTGCCATCGAGCCTTCAAATCTTGAGTTTTGGTGATGACTTCAACCAAAGCCTGGAGCGGGTGACCTTGCCATCGAGCCTTCAAAGCTTGAGTTTTGGTGAGAGCTTCAACCAAAGCCTGGAGCTGGTGACCTTGCCATGGAGCCTTCAAAGCTTGAGTTTTGGCCGTCATTTCAACCGAAGCCTGGAGCGGGTGACCTTGCCATCGAGCCTTCAAAGCTTGAGTTTTGGCCGTTATTTCAACCAAAGCCTGGAGCGGGTGACCTTGCCATCGAGCCTTCAAAGCATGAGTTTTGGCAGTGATTTTAACCGAAGCCTGGAGCGGGTGACCTTGCCATCGAGCCTTCAAAGCTTGAGTTTTTGCAATAACTTTTACTTTAACCAAAGCCTGGAGCGGGTGACCTTGCCATCGAGCCTTCAAAGCTTGAGTTTTGGCCATGATTTCAACCAAAGCCTGGAGCAGGTGACCTTGCCATCGAGCCTTCAAATCTTGAGTTTTGGTGATGACTTCAACCAAAGCCTGGAGCGGGTGACCTTGCCATCGAGCCTTCAAAGCTTGAGTTTTGGCCATGATTTCAACCAAAGCCTGGAGCAGGTGACCTTGCCATCGAGCCTTCAAAGCTTGAGTTTTGGCTGGAATTTCAACCAAAGCCTGGAGCGGGTGACCTTGCCATCGAGCCTTCAAAGCTTTACTGCTCCCCATCGGCGGAGCATGATATCTGTCAGTTGTGCAGGCTGAGCTTAGTTTCTATGACGCGCCCCCCAAATAGGTATCAATGCAAAAGAGGCTTGAGGCGACCATTCTGTGGTGCCCCGGTTCGTTAGCTTGGTTTATAACTAACATAACTAGGGTGCTTGATGATTCTGATTCCAATGGCAATTTCAGGAACCTAAACCGGAGGTACCTACCATATAGAGGGCCTATATAAGGCCTATGTAAGGCCTATGTAAGGGAATATCCCCACAAAATATGGCCTTATATGGTACAGTACCTGCATTTTAGGATACTGAAATTCCCATTATCCATTGATAGATATCTTGGATGGGTTTGAATCAATTCATAGACGATTTTCCCATTTACAGGTTATTCCCAGCTGCAAACCTCCAGTTCAGGCATTTTCCAGGTACTTTTGATGACACAAGAGGGTTTAACTGGGGACCACTGTGTCACTGTGGGGTGGCTTGAGAATCCACATTTTGATCAGCGAATGCATCCAGAGTCCAGCGTCCAATCCTAAACTGGATATTGTAATTAGGACATAACTCATAACATGACATAACTATATAATATGATCACTGATAGATATATTAATTTTGTAATTTTCTACATACTCTGCCTTTAAATTTGTCATTTATTGCAACTACTATGTGGATACACTGGATCTAGCACATAAAAGCTTTTAGCGTCGTGTTTTTTTCTAATCTATATCACATGATCCCTGCTCATATCATCATCAGACATATAATGAAAAACTATACCACATGTTCCCAGACACATACATATGTATATAATTGTATATATATATATATATTTATACATATTTATATAATATATACACACATATATATAATATACATGTATATCCTTGTTGGTAATCTATATCTGTAAATATCTAATATCAGTAATCTATCCCACATGATCCCTGCTGAAACACCAGTCCTTCGATGGCTTCGGTGTTTGTCCTCGACAGGTCTTTCTGGCCTATGCCGCCAGCTGCTTTCCAAATGTGGGCCCGCTGGCGCAAGAGGAGCCCTATAGGAACATGGCCATTGATGGTGGATTTACCATGATTTCCCTCGAAAGAAAGTGGTGATTTTCCGTAACCAAGGGGAAGGGTTAATAATTTGGTGAATAATATGGCTATTTAATGGTTAGTTATATATATATATATTTATATGGTTTTTGAATGGTTATACTGTGGGTAAAGCAATGTCATAAACCACCCATGACTGGGAATGGTAAACATACCACCTATTAACATGGTGAAATTGGGGATGGTTGGTAAAGCAATGTCATGTTTACCATCCCCAATGACTTACATTTTTTGGTGGGATTCAAACCAGTCCCAAATGTCTGAAGATGGCGTCAAAAGTAATAACTCAGATAAGTTGGGATATGCCCCCAAGAATGACCCTAATTATGGCAATTGGAATAGATGACCCCTTCTTTAGCCATGATGATTATGGTAATTATCGCCAACTGCAGATGATACTGTGGATGGAAGAAATCCTGCACCACCTGGGATGGTAGCAAACTTATAAATCATGGGATGTTTACCACCTATTAGCTGGTTCAGGATTTCTTCATATTTCTTCCATCCACCGTATCACCCCCAATTATGACAATTGGAATATCACCACTTTTGACGGATGATCCCGGCTTCTTTCGCCATGCGGGGACGAGTTGTTGGAACCCCCATTGACCGACATAGGACTTTAGCCTTGCACTAGCCGAGGCACCTGGGGGAACATGGTGGTGAAACCGGTGAAAGATGGGGAATTGAACTTACGAACACTTGCAGCTAGCCACCAGCTATCTATGAAAAGGTCAACTCGCTTAGAGGATCCAACATGAGGATTTCTAATCGGTTTTTAGCAGAGAACATGGGGGATTTGTAACATTTTATAACCGCTGTTTGTCATGGTTTGTCTCAATTCATACAGCTTTGTTTGACAGTTTGACCAATTTGACCGACTTAAAGATGGGGAAATCACTCACAAACTTGGGATTTATGATGCTCTACCATCCCCATCATTGGGTCGGTGGAGGTTTTCTCTACTCCCAAGACCGATGACATCCGATGACAGAATCCTCGATGAACGGAGGTCAAGCTCAGACCTGAAATGTGAAAAATCAGGGATGGGGATGTAATGACTACGGAATGAGAACAGTGATATGTCATTATTTAATGAATGGAATATGTGGGAAAAATGTGGGAAGAATGCGGAGATGGCGGGAGATGATTTTGGGGTACAACCATAAATGTCGTGTGTCTCGTGGAAGATATAAAAAAGGTGGGGTTTTGCTGAACGACTCGAACCTCGGATCTGTAACATTTGGTGTATGAAACCATTCAGACGAAATCAGCAACTGTCAATGGGAATTTCAGGATCCTAAAATGGAGCTATGTTAGTACCATATTTCTGGCCATATTTTGTGGGGATCGAAATTAAGCCCTTACATAGGCCTTATCTATGGTAGGTACCTCCAATCAATCGGTTCCTGAGATGGCCAGTGAAACTGGTTTACACCCCACACACCCAGTAGCACAAAGCCAATGAACACGATTGAAACATGTTAATATATGTTTTAGCTAGGTTCAAGATAGGTGGTAGAGGCCTTAAGTAAGATCCAAACATGTCTCGTACGTACGGCTGGTAGGTTTGGTTTTCTTGGTACGGTACGGTTGGTACATGTGGTACGGTACGGTTGGTACGGTTGGTACGCTTAGTAAGGTACGTTTGGTACGCTTACCAACCGTACCGACCGTACCAGTGAACCGTACATAACCGTACCACCGTACCGTACCAGATTAAGGGGGGGGTCAAGGGGGGGGTATTGGTACATCCAAAACGCCCCCACCTTGACCCCCCCCCTTAATCTGGTACGGTACGGTGGTACGGTTATGTACGGTTCACTGGTACGGTCGGTACGGTCGGTACGGTTGGTAAGCGTACCAAACGTACCTTACTAAGCGTACCAAGCGTACCTACCCAAAGCGTACCAAGCGTACCAGGCGCACCAAGCGCACCAAGCGTAGCGTACCTATCTTATAGCTGGATATCAAGCACCTATCTTGAACTTAGATAATATATGTTAACACATCTACGCGAATTGGTATCACTAGTAACCACCACTAAAATTGCCCTTCATGAGTCTCCACCCGGCCAGTTAATCTCATAATTCACCAACTGACAGGCGTTTTAATTAGTAAACACACATACATACTAATATTACCAAACATTGAAAACCATTGAACACCTCTAAACAGCATTTTTCATGACACATTTGAAACAGTCTAACAGATTTTAAACAATCTTAAACATATCACCATTTTAAACCATTAGAACTATAGAACCATTGAAAATCATTGAAACCATCAAAACCCGAGCAGTGAGCAGAGGGGGTCACCTCGAATCCAGGGAGAGATCGCAGAGGCTGGCGAGCAGGCGGGTTCCCCATGGCGGATCTTAGGCACCTGAATATGGTTTAATCATGGTTTATGCTAGATATATATACATACAATGTGAGGCCCCCCAGTTATAAGTTGGTTTATAAGCCCCAGTAACTATAGTTATAAGTACCATAAATCATAGTTATTGGAGTTATAAACCAATTTAGCTATCTTGGGGGCCTCACATTGTATATAATTATATATATATATAATTCTAGTTGGTATATTTGCCTAGCTAAACCATTGCTTAACCATGGTTTATGTTTTTTTGGTATATAGATATGATATATCTATATAATTCTATAACTAGGTCAATCTTAGATGGATAGAAACTAATCCTCACTAGTCTTTTGGTATCAATGGGATTGTCTGTGTTCACCAGCTCAGATTTTTTCATGTTTTGCAGGGTATCTTTCAGATTGGCCATGTGGTGGGACCCATAGAAACCATGGGAAACCATGGTGAACTAGCAACAATGAGGATTCATTTTCTTGATTTATTTGATTAAGCCATCGAGACGATTGGTGAAAAAACGGTGAGTTTCCACCAAGAACACCTGGGATTTTTCATGGGATTAATAGCTGATTCAGCTGATTCATATGAGAGATTTCATGAGATATTTCATGATATGTAATTTTGTTCATGGGATATTCCAAGGGATATCACCAGCCATAGGATATTAATATCCACGGATGTTTAAGCGTCCAAAACGGTTAAGTTATATTTCATGTAGATATAAGGGGGAGTGAATTGGGATATTGTGCGATGAATTAACCAGCACTATCTCGATATGGATTGAGGATATGGCCATTGCTAGGTCAATCTTAGTTAGAAACTAATCCGAAGTAGTCTTTTACTATGAATGGAATTGTCTACGTTCACCAGCTCAGATTGTTTGTCATTTTTGTGCAGGGTATCTTTCAGATTGGCCATGATATGCCATGATTATATGTTATTACTGTATATCCCCATCATATCTCATATTACCCTCTGGTAAACTAACATAACAATGGAACACCACCATTTTTAATGAGTTAATCAATTATTAAATGGCCATTTTCAATAGCTATGTTAGTTTACCAGAGGGTATCCCATATATTATGGGGATATGGCCATGGAATGAGGAACATTCAAGCTTTTCAACCGGATGCAATGGGGATATCTATTTTCAGACAAACCCAAACGATTGATGACAACTTGTGTGTAGGGAAACGGGAACCCAACCCTTATTCTTTTTTGAGCATTCTATTTTTCTCACTATGCTCCAATTATGGCACTGTAAAAGAGAGACCATCTAATTCTACTGTGTTTGAACAACTCTTTTCTGCTGGGAGTCTGAATGACTACTCCCCAGTAATTACCCGCTGGTAAACGTTTACATAGCTATGGAAAATCACTATTTTTAATGGGTAAATCCACTATAATTAAATGGCAATTTTCGATAGTTATGTTAGATTGCCAGAGGGTACTCCCCAGTAATTAATTGAAGATCCACTATTAATAGATGTGTGTTCCCATTAAAACCTCATTGGTAGGAGATGTTCCTTAAAGCCACGTTTGACACCAGCAGTGATCACTGATCCTTGGCCACCTCGAACTCAGAAGAACAGGAAACCACCATATTTCATGGACAAAAACCCATGGGTTTCCTGTAGATTTTCCCTTAAACCAATGTAAACGGGGAGCATTTAGTAATCAGTGGAAGGGATGGCAATTTCCATGCTGAACATCACCCATGTGGCTAATCCCTAGACATTGGATGGGAAAGATTGGCTGTATATCCACAATTCAGGATGGTTGCGAACCGTATTACCCTCAGGTAAACATACAAAAAGCTATGGAAAATCACCATCTCCAATAGGTAAATCAACTATAAATGGGCAATTTTCAATAGCTATGTAGCAAATTACCAGAGGGTAACCCCCTACATGTTTCATAGTGCTTATCTATAACCTAAGGTGAGGCCGCCCAGTTACAAGTTGATTTCCAAAGCCCGCGTTCCACGACGTTTGGTTCATTGCCATAATATGCCATAATCGCCCAGCGAAATTGCAGTTTTATTTACCAACTTAGCTATGATAAATGAGCTAAATCGGCTATGAAGCACCATTTGTTGCTACAATGTGAGGCCCCCCAGTTATAAGTTGGTTTAGATTCGCCCCGGTAACTATAGTTATAAATACCATAAACCATAGTTATTGGACTTATGTGCACCAACTGAACGCTATCGTGGGGGCCTCACATTGTATGAATCACGATTTGTTGCTAGTTAAATCACCATTTTTGCATGGTTTCCCCATGGTTTCCCCATGGTTTCCCCATGGTTTCCCCATGGTTTCCCCATTGAACCCCGATCAACTCGCTGCAGGTGGCGCTTGCCACGAGGGACTCACTGGAAAAGCTCAAGGATCCACAGGTGAAAATGGGAGAATCCACTGGCTTTGATAGGAAAGAATAGGAATATTATTCTATAATAGGAATATGGCTTTGAATCAATACCTATTAATACCATTTTTGGAGGGATGAACATCCATTTACCAGCTATTTTTATGTTCACCAGGGGTTCAAGGTTTTGACCCACTGCCATATATGGAAAACGGACCATTTATAGATCATGAACATTATCTGATTGGTGGTTTGGAACCATGGAATTTGGATTGACTTTCCATTCAGTTGGGAATGGAATAACCATCCCAACTGACTTTCACTCCATCATTTTTCAGAGGGGTAGGCGAAAAACCACCAACCAGAATATTATCACCATTATTATCATTAATTAACCATATAATAACCATATGGCAGTGTGTCAAAACCTTGTACCCCTGGTGAACATCAAAATAGCTGGTAAATGGATGTTCATCCCCCTAAAAATGGTATTAATAGGTATTGATCCATACCCATATATTAACATTATACTACCAACCAATGGTAGGTAGGTGGCTCAACCGCCAACCAGAAAACTGGGATTTTCCCACCGTTCAGGCCGCGGGATTCAAGAATTCTTCGCGAAATCGACGTCTTGACGTAGCCGAACGGGATGAGCGAGGATTATATGAGGGATATTCAAGCGAAAACCATGGTTGATAACGTAGAAACACGAAGAAAACCACAAATTAATAGATTAGTTGAAGGCAATCTAAACCATGGTTGATACCGTAGAAACAGAAACGTTAAACCACAAATTAGTTGAAGACAATCTATAGACTGTACTTGTGAATCCTGTACTTGTGAATCCTGTATATACTTTGAAGCATTGTTGTTCATGTTGTAATCGTTTATCCAAAGGAAAACATCGATCAGCTTGTAGGGAGAGCCGACTATTCGCATCTGGTGTTTAAATGACCATGCAACACCTGATGTAGTCAACCGTAGTTCCCTCATGTTCCCTTTACAACTGTCATTTTGAATGAGACCATATATTGCCTTCTAGTGAGTAAACACAGCGGATGGTTGCGAAATCCGAATCACCAGTTGATAGGTGGTACAGTAAACATCCCATTATTTTTAGCTTTTCAACATGTTTCAACCATCCTTTTGGTGGTGCAGGATTTCGGTTAACCATCCACACAAGGTGGTGCCCCAGTTCGTTAGCTAAGTTGGTGCAAATAACTCCCATTTCACTATGGTTTATGGAAGAAAAAACTATAATTAATGGGGTTTATAAACCAACAAACATCACGTTTGGGGGCACCATCCTGCAGTATCATATCATCTCTAGTGGATTCCCAAGTGCCACGATTGCCGGAAAAATGGAGTCTATAGACCCCCACTTAAAAGGGGACCCCAAAGGGCGAAGCTAAAAAGAAGGGCGAATTTTGACCACAAAGAAACTGTACATCTATAATTAATCAAATTTAAGTAATTAGTAATTATGATTGATGAAGATCGATGACAAGATTATTACTGGTTGGTGGTTTCAAACATGAATTTTATTTTCCATTTCATATATGGTATGTCATCCTTCCCATTGACTAATATCAACCAGATTATGAATTATGTGTGTTTTTCAGATTGTTTAAGATGTCCAACTCATGAACAAACCGCAAATGTGCGCCGCCAGTCGCTGTACAACGCCTTGGGTGCGCCCGTTGAGCTCTTGAAACGCTGTGAACTCGAGGTCTGCCGGTGGCCGTTTATGGTGGCCTTTTTTTGAGGCGTTTGAAACCGGTGACCCTCCGGAAATCAGCGAAGTCAGCTACGAAAAGTTGCAAATTTATAGATGATGTACCATGTACCCACTAAAATGATCTAAAATGATCTACTGGTTGGTGGTTTGGAACATGATTGTTTTTTTTTCCCCAATAGTTGGGATGATGATCCAATCTGACGAAGTCCATCATTTTTCAGAGGGGTAGGTCAACACCTCCAACTGGGTACATCAGGGTCATGTAAGGGTTCCATGTCGTCTACTGTATAAAATACTACAGGATGGGCCCCCCAAGATAGCTAAGTTGCCTTATAGGTGGCTTAAACTACGGGTTTATGGTAGATTATGGTAGATATAACTATAGATAACAAGAACTAATGGGGTTTATAAACCAACTTATAACTGGGGGGCACCATCTTGTACAAGCTACGGTCAAATGCCGTGCTAGAATTCCCTTTCACCGCTCAGGGGCTGCAAATGATGGACACGAGGGAGGAAATTTATGCATATGTGACCTCAATTTATCTACCAATTCTCAATGGATTGGTTTAAGGGAAAATCTACAGGAAACCATGGTTTTTACCATCAAATATAGGGGTTTCCTGTAAATTTTCCCATCATCCAATTCTATGAAATTCTACACCCATTCTACCCCTGGTGTTGAGAGCAACCCTGTTGGGTTGATTTTAGTAAAGCCCTTAAAGAACCGTTCGATATATCTACCATGAATCCAATCATTAAGCTGCTGTTTATTTCAACCAACTTAGCTAGTTCATTCTTTGGGGGATGACTTCTAGTTAACCAATGTTAACTATGCTGGTCCCGTAAAAGATAAAAACAATTCTATAATCCCACTTAAACAGTGATGTGTTAATATAATTTGTTTTGTTTCTATCTTTTTGGATGTTATCCACCAAATACAGTATCACACATGTTTTTTCATAAATGAAATCTAGTTACAGTAACTATACCTAGACCCTCAAGTACCCTTAAACAATGTTGCTTTACCCCATATTTTTTAGTACCCTCCAGTAAACTGTTACATAGCTATTGAAAATGATCATAGAAATAGTTGATTTATATACATATATTTAAAAAATGTGGATTTTCCCATAGAAAAATTGTGATGTTCCATCGTTTTACCCATAGAAACATGGTGTTTTTCCATCGTTTTTGGTATGTTTACCAGGCCGGGTAACCGTAAATACCACCTCACCACCTCCGAGGGCCCTCTGTTGAAAGGCCACAAAGTCCTTGATGGAGTTGCAACTCTCGTTGCTGAGGCGCGCTACGAAAATTGGAGCTGATCGTCCCAGTGGTTGGTCAATCTTAGATAAGTTGGTATATAACTTATAGCTTAACCATGGTTTATGGTAGATGTATCTATATAATGATGTATGATAGGTAGAAACTAATCCTAACTAGTAGATATATGGTAGATATATGATGATATATGATGGTTTATTATGGTAGATATATGATATATATATATTCATATAATTCTATAACTAGATCAATCTTAGATGGGTTGAAACTAATCCTAACTAGTCTTTTGGTATCAATGGGATTCTCTGCGCTCACCAGCTCAGACTTGTTCTTTTTTTGCAGGGTATCTTTCAGATTGGCCATGATTAACAAGGCTGGTTTTTTGTTAGTGGGATAAGTAGGGTGAATCCCACTTATAATTGGATTATGACCTACTTATTAAATGGAATGAGCCGCCAAGTACCCTGGTTGATTGGTTAATATAGGGAGGTCCAAGCTTAGGGGGATTATGATGACTTAATGATAACCCGTAGGATTGGGAAACCGTTTTCAACCATATTGAGATGGGATAGGGATACTTGCTCAAGTGGAAAGGAACAGCGAAGTGAAAAGGAATCAAGCTCCCATGGATCCATGGAAAATCCCTACCCTCTGGTAAACTGTTACATAGATATAGAACATGGACCATAGAAATAGTTGATAAAAATGGTGATTTTATATAGTTTTTTGTTAGTTTACCAGAGGGTAAATCCCATTAAATCCCATTAAATCACCATAAAATCCCATTAAATCCCATTAAATCACCATAAAATCCCATTAAATCCCATTAAATCACCATAAAATCCCATTGAATCAAGTATTGGTGTTGATGTTCCAAGTTTTTCTCAATGGATTCGCCAAAGAAATTCTCCAAGTTCCTCCAACCGCTTTCCACATGAGAAAAGCCACAGCAGCCGATGGCCCTCACTAAGTCATCAAAACTCACCCCATTTAAAAATAGCAAAATAACCACAAAATAACAACAAAACACTACAAAACCCATACAAAATAACAACAAAATAAACCATACAAAATATGTAAACCCATACAAAATATGTAAATACATTTAAAGAATATGTAAACCCATACAAAATAACAACAAAACACTTGTTTCTTAATAGGTGAATCATCTGGAACTGGGGATGTTTTGGCAATGTGGGTCCTCTTAGTTATGTTTGTTGGTTTACAACCCCATCTAACTATAGAATCTATAGATATATTGACTATAAACCCTAGTTATTGTACTTATAAACCAACTTAGCTATCTTGTTTTCCCCACAATGTATAGAACATTATCCATTTTTAAATATATATATATATATGATAATAGATAGTAATTACTGTATATACTATCCTTATCCATTTATAAAACAACCAACCTATCCAGGACGTCGCGTGTCCAGCTGCTTGAGGCGGGCGCCGTTGAACCAATGGGATTTGTAAACGTTGGGTGCATTTAACCATCAACCGTAGGGATTTTTTTAGGGATTTTTTTATAGGGATTCATAGGGATTTGATATGAACATATGGGATTTATAGGGATTTATAATGATTTATAGGGATTTATTGGATTGATTTTATGTTTTTTTTGGAAATAGCTGCAGTTAAAGCCCGAAATGCCACTGACAAGTGGTTTTACCATTTGTAAATGGGGTTATACATTCCATAGATGAGCTTATATAACTGACTTATAACTGGTTTTTTCGGGCCACAAGCGCATAGAACTGGGGGATTCTTAAAATGGAGTGTCCCCAATAGCTGGATGGTTTATGATGGAAAAAACATAAACACTCCTATGGAAATGGGTGATGTGGGGGTACCTAGATTTCAGGAAACCTCTAGACTTTACCAAAAAGACCATGGGATTCTTACATGATGCGTCACAAAATAAACCAACCTGTGCAAACGCTGGAGAGTTCTCAGATTTCTTGAAACAAACTCAGAGAGGCTGCATCAAGCATGGCAGTTCGGTGTCAGAACTGGCGACAGAAGCATTTAGGCATAGGATCTAGGTGGACATCGAAGCAACCAACTGGCACTGCAACCTCTGAAGATAGGGATAGTGTATAAACATGTATAAACTATACTGTTGTTAAGACAAAGATAAACAACCCATTTGAGAATGGTTTATACCAGCCATTTATGATGAGTTTGGGGATGGTTTATTAGTGTTTTAACCACATTACACATTATGTGTATGATGAGGAGACAGAGATAGATGCCGGGATGTGAAATGATATAGTAATATGACTCATATGACCATCACTGCTATAGGGATGTTGGGGATCCAATTTCGAGACTCATAGGGGCAGGGTGATCACATCTCATATTTTGTGGATCGGCACATTCATTCCTCCTATCATAGAATTGGTCCCAGTTCTATGGTTTTACTCTTACAACACGGTGAGGCCCCTAAGTAAGGGGAGATGCGGACATAGGTAAGAGAAGTATAGAAAAGCATGGAAAAGGAATGAACAGGATAAAAGGACAGTGGAGCGGTTGCTGACATTCAGAGTTAGAGCAAAGACTTGCTAGCTGAAGACAGGCTGAAGACTTTCCCCCGCCTGTTCTGGGATTGGTTCGCTTTGGAACATGGACTATGTACCTTTATCGAAATGTGTTTGTACGCAATGTTGAGGGACAAAGAGCTCCCTATTCCTCGGACTTTGACGAATAAGCGCGTGGTGATTGACTTCGCTGACCAGCCTGCGGGCCAGAGCTCCATTAAAACGGCCTCCCAGGTCCCCCGTCACCACACTGCCACCTCCCAGCCCTCCCAATCTCGGCGCCACTTACACGACGGCTCCTTGGCTTTGGAAAAGGACCCAGGCAGACCCATCTTGTAAGGTGTGTTTCAAAAAGGATGGGCCAAGTGCACTTCGACGTTTGGAGCACTTTGAAGCAGATCTATGTCATTTAAGGTCTTCTTTGCTGTTCTATTCTGTTGTTGTTGTTGTTGTTGTTGTTGTTGTTCGTGGTCGTGGTCGTGGTCGTGGTGGTGGTGGTGGTGGTCGTGGTGGTTGGTGGTTGGTGGTTGGTGGTTGGTGGTTGGTGGTTGGTGGTTGGTGGTTGGTGGTTGGTGGTTGGTGGTTGGTGGTTGGTGGTTGGTGGTTGGTGGTTGGTGGCTGGTGGCTGGTGGTTGGTGGTTGGTGGTTGGTGGTTGGTGGTTGGTGGTTGGTGGTTGGTGGTGGTGGTGGTGGTTGTTGTTGTGGTGGTGGTGGTATGAACACTTTTCCCCTTGCGGGCTCCCCCTTACTCCGGCTGTGGTTGGCGGATAACTATAGTCATGGGGATTATGAATCAACTTATAACTGGAGGCCCCCGACCTTGTAGTTCCATGGTCTTAGTGCCGCAATTAGCTGGGACATTGCAAACTGGCGTCGCTTCAAGTGAGACCAATCATCTCTTTTGGTTACTTGCCATGATTTCCTCTTGAACCAGCAAACGAAAGCAACCGAATCGGCATTAGTTTCAGGCCCAAAGCTGTATCAATTGTTTAGGTGTTTCTCCCAAAGTAGTTTCAAGTGTTCGCCCGTTTCCAATGTATAGCAAGATTTCATTTGTCAAAACAACCAGCTAGTAGACTCAATCATGTTTGGGAGAAAGCAACCACAAACAAAGACACCGGAATGCATGCTTCACAGCACATATAAGGTGGCTCCCCTGGTTATACACTGATATAGTTGTATATATGTTTGTCTATTTTATTTAATACTATTGTCTATAGATATTTTCACCATAAGCCATAGAAGCCACCTAGGCAAATAAACCGACTATTGTCTATAGATATTTTTACCATAAGCCATAGAAGCCACCTAGGCAAATAAACCAACTTAGCTAACTATGGGCCGGGCACCACCTTATACTGTTGCTTGACATCTTCTGTTGTCTCATTTTGGGCTAACACCTCCAGCACTGGTGTTGTTTTACATATACCCTGCTAGGTGGTGTCCACAATTATGTTTGTTGGTTCGCGTTCAATCCATGAATTAATTCGATATATATATATATAATATTATCTACGTATCCAACCGTGAAGCTAGTTAGGCTACCAGTTTTTTTTTCACATACATCAGGCAAATCGAAGTGTTAATCTTATGTGCACTAAATTTAAATATGTATAATATGAATAATGTAGGTTACAGATTAGTGTGGGGAGGCCCCCCCCCCAAACAAATTTTGGATACAGAATAATGTAAAAAAACAAGCTACCGGGTACGCAATACGGTGAAATCAAAAAAAAATGATAGATTTAAATTGATTTCAATTTACTTTCAATTGATTTCAATTTATTTTGAATTGATTTGAAGTTACTTTGAATTGATTTCAATTTACCTTCAATTGATTTCAATTTATTTTGAATTGATTTCAATTTACTTTCAATTGGTTTCAATTTATTTTGAATTGATTTCAATTTACTTGCAATTGATTTGAATTTACTTTCAATTGATTTCAATTTATTTTGAATTGATTTCAAGTTACTTTCAATTGATTTCAATTTATTTTGAACTGATTTCAATTTACTTTCAATTGATTTGAATTAGATTCAAATTGATTTCAATTTACTTTCAATTGACTTCAATTTACTTTCAATTGATTTGAAGTTACTTTCAATTGATTTGAAGTTACTTTCAATTGATTTCAATTTACTTTCAATTGATTTCCATTTACTTTCAATTGATCTCAAGTTACTTTCAATTGAATTCAAGTTACTTTCAATTGATTTCAAGTTACTTTGAATTGATTTCAATTTACTTTCTTCATTTTGAATTGATTTCAATTTACTTTCAATTGATTTGGAGTTACGTTCAACTGATTTCAATTTACTTTCAATTGATTTGAAGTTACTTTCAATTGATTTGAAGTTACTTTGAATTGATTTCAATTTACTTTCAACTGATTTCAATTTACTTTCAATTGATTTGAAGTTGCTTTGAATTGATTTGAAGTTACTTTGAATTGATTTCAATTTACGTTCAATTGATTTCAATTTATTTTGAATTGATTTGAAGTTACTTTGAATTGATTTCATTTTACTTTCAGTTGATTTAAAATTACTTTCAATTGATTTGAAGTTACTTTGAATTGATTTCAATTTATTTTGAAATGATTTCAATTTACTTTCAATTGATTTCAATTGATTTCAATTTACTTTCAATTGATTTGAAGTTACTTTCAATTGATTTCAATTTACTTTCAATTGATTTCAATTTACTTTCAATTGATTTGAAGTTACTTTCAATTGATTTCAATTTACTTTCCATGGATTTCCATTTACTTTCAATTTGCTTTCAATTTACTTTGAATTTACTTTCAATTGATTTCATTTTACTGCCAATTTACTTTCAATCGACATCCCATAGAAATCCAATAGTAGTCCCAAAGAAATATCATAGAAATACCATGGAAATCCCATAGGAATCTCACAGAAATACCATAGAAATATCATAGAAATAACATGGAATAGCATAGGAACCACAAAAGAAATCCCATGAGAATTCCAATAATAATCCCATAGTAATATCATAGAAACATCATGGAAATACCTTGGAAATCCCACAGGAATCCAATAGAAATTCCATAGGAATCCAATAGAAATACCATAGAAATCCCATAGGAATCCAATGGAAATCCCATAAGAATACCATAGAACTCCCATAGCACCCCTTCAGAAATCCCATAGAAATCCTCCAGAAATATCATAGAAACATCATGGAAACCCCATAGGAATTCCATAGAAATCCAATAGTAATACCATAGAAATACCATAAAAGAAAAAAGCTTTAGCAAAGGAAAAGGTAAAGGGAATGCTTGAAAAAAACATCACACCAGGAAGCATCTGGACACAATAGTGTACCCTCGAAACAAACCACACTATTGTGTATCAGGGTTGCTCATGGACTACCCCCTTGAAAAATTGTTTGAGTGATGTTTTTTAATTGGGTTTTAATAAGGCATCATATATTTTGGGAAACTGGGCATTTCTGAGAATATCAAATGAAAGAAACTAAGAAGTAATTAATTAATTAAAAGGAAAAAACTTTAGCAAAGGAAAAGGTAAAGGAAATGATTGCAAAAAAAACAAAATCACCTCAGGAAGCAGCTGGACACAATAGTGTACCCTCGAAACAAACCACACTATTGTGTATCAGGGTTGCTCATGGACTACCCCCTTGAAAAATTGTTTGAGTGATGTTTTTTAATTGGGTTTTAATAAGGCATCATATATTTTGGGAAACTGGGCATTTCTGAGAATTTCAAATGAAAGAAACTAAGAAAGTAATTAAGTAATTAAAAGGAAAAAACTTTAGCAAAGGAAAAGGTAAAAGAAATGATTGAAAAAAAACAAAAAAACATGACCTCAGGAAAGCAGCTGGACACAATAGTGTACCCTCCAAACAAACCACACTATTGTGTATCAGGGTTGCTCATGGGCTACCCCCTTGAAAAATTGTTTGAGTGATGTTTTTTTAATTGGGTTTTAATAAGGCATCATATATTTTGGGAAACTGGGCATATCTGAGAATTTCAAATGAAAGAAACTAAGAAAGTAATTAAGTAATTAAAAGAAAATAACTTTAGCAAAGGAAAAGGTAAAGGAAATGATTGAACAAAAACAAAAAATCATGACCTCAGGAAAGCAGCTGGACACAATAGTGTACCCTCCAAACAAACCACACTATTATGTATCAGGGTTGCTCATGGACTACCCCCTTGAAAAATTGTTTGAGTGATGTTTTTTAATTGGGTTTTAATAAGGCATCATATATTTTGGAAAACTGGGCATTTCTGAGAATTTCAAATGAAAGAAACTAAGAAAGTAATTAATTAGAAGAAAAAACTTTAGCAAAGGAAAAGGTAAAGGAAATGATTGAAAAAATCAAAAAATCATGACCTCAGGAAGCAGCTGGACACAATAGTGTATCCTCAAACAAACCACACTATTATGTATCAGGGTTGCTCATGGACTACCCCCTTGAAAAATTGTTTGAGTGATGTTTTTTAATTGGGTTTTAATAAGGCATCATATATTTTGGGAAACTGGGCATTTCTGAGAATTTCAAATGAAAGAAACTAAGAAAGTAATTAAGTAATTAAAAGAAAATAACTTTAGCAAAGGAAAAGGTAAAGGAAATGATTGAACAAATCAAAAAAACATGACCTCAGGAAAGCAGCTGGACACAATAGTGTACCCTCCAAACAAACCACACTATTGTGTACCTGGATGTAATTTTCTGTGGAAGGCATCTGGAAAATTTCAATGATGGAAAATAAAAAGTAAAAGAAGAAAGCTTTAAAAAATGAAAAAAAATGAAAAATGTTTGAACAACAAAAAAAGACCAAGACACAATTGTGTATCCTGACACAATGACACAATTGTGTATCCTGACACAATTTTGAAAAATATAAAATAATTTAAAATAAAATAAACAATAATTCAATTAAAAATTATTACAATTAAAAATAAAACTAAAAATTAATTTAAAAAATAAAAAATAATTAAATTAAAAATTATTACAATTAAAACTAAAAATAAAAAATAATTTAAAATAAAATAAAAATAATTATAGTAAGTTAAAAATTATTATGATTAAAAATAAACATAAAAAAATAATTTAAAATAAAATAAAAAATAATTAAATTAAAAATTATTATGATTAAAAATAAACATAAAACATAATTTTAAATAAAATAAAACATAATTAAAAATAAAAAAATATTATAATTAAAAATAAAAATAAAAAGCAATTAACAACTAAAAAACAAAAAAATGAAAAAAAAAAACTTACACCAAAATCCTGTGGACACAAAACTGTACCCCTCGATCATTTCCAAAGTTACAAAATAATTTTGGAGTCTGTGGACACAATTCTGTATCCCCACACTAATCTGTATCCCACATTAATAGTAATGGAAATAAACACCATAGTAATAATAATAAGAATAATAATGATAATGATAATGTTAACAATAATAACAATACTAAGAATAGTAATCATTGTTCATCCCTTTTTGTTGCACATGAAGTTCCCTTTTCCCCCATCTTTGATGGTGAACTCCCTCATGTTTCATGTCCTTATGGATTTCACATGGCTCGGTGGTGAGGCGTTGCAAGATGCCGTGGCTTCACAGGAGCAGGCACCACACATTGGATTTCATGATAAAAAACATGTGGATTTTGTGAAAAAAATCTATGGATTTTCATGGTGAGTTGGTGGGAATAATTCTTAATGGGTATATATACAATGTGAGGCCCCCCAGTTATAAGTTGGTTTATAAGCCCCAGTAGCTATAGTTATAAATACCATAAACCATAGTTATTGGACTTATAAAACAACTGAGCTATCTTGGGGGCCTCACATTGTATATATAATATGCGGTGGGATTCAAATCCAACAGGTAAATGTTATCCTACAATAAATGGGACTCTACACTGTGGGGCCCCCAGGATAGCTAAGTTGTTTTTTTTTGGCAATTTCATTCGGGGTATAGTTTTTGGAATTCACTATAGTATGCATGAGGTCTATTTGTAACTTGGGGGGCCATTATGAAGGGTAAACGTTTTGGATGTGGAACCCCCCATGAGTTCCTTAGGAAAACGATGCTCTTCAGAGTCTCTTTTCAACGTAAGAAAAACCGAGCGATTTCACCATGAAAATGGGATGTTAGCCATGAAGAAAGGGGATTGAACCATCAGAAATCGTGGTTCCAACCAAAATATAACATCTTTGCCTAAAACTCTATGGAAATACTGTAAAATGAAATGTGAAGATCCATGGGGATATGACCCGACAGAATCGTGGGAATACTGTGTCTTTTAGTACAATGTGATGCCCCAGTTCGGAATCGCTAAGTTAGTTTAGAAAAGTTCAATTTCACTGTGGTTTATGATACTTATAACGAACTAGTCAATGGTGTTAACAAACATATCTGGGGGGTCCCACATTGTACCAATAAAGGGAATTCAAAGTTTTGGAACACGGCTGGCGCTTTCGCTCATTGTTCGTTTCCAAACACATGGAATGATGATGCCCCATGACCATTGTCTGGTTGAGACCACCCACCGTGAGCGAAACGAAGATCTGCCCAGAGCCCAGGGCATGTTTTTTTTCCAAACCACGGCGATTTTAGCAATGAAACTGGGGAGTGACCGGCTGCAAAGTGGCCTTTGGGAATGGGTCGAAACCTACAAAAAACCATATGACTGGATAATAAACATCCTGTAGGGTTTAGGTTAACTTAGGATAGGAAGTAGTTGAAAACCATGCCAAGTGAAGTGGTAAGGTAACCCATTGTTTAAGGGCTCTTTTAGGGGTGGCCCGAATGGAAAAGGTTTCAACCGAAACCACCATTTGGAGGGAACATCGTCCACAATTGGGCGCTTGTCCATGGGACAACGGTGGAAGCTGCGAAATGCATCTTGCTGGAAGGAGTCGTTAACTGGCAGTACAATCCGGACCTCAAACCCTGCCAGCTCTCAACTTTTGCTTTTGGAGCATTCGCTCTGAGATGCCCTGGCAATGTGAGATCCTATGTTGGAGCGTGTGGGACCAGATGGATTGCACCATCCAGTTCAGAGAGAAGAGAAACAGGAGTCCTGAATGTGAGATGTCTGACTAGAAAGAAAGAACGCGCAGAGAAGAGAAACAGGAACCCTGAATCTGAAACTTACTAACCGGAAAAAAAATAAGAATAGGATCCAACGGTCCAGGAACGGGCCATCCTCCTGGACAGAGCTTCGAAGGAGGGCTCCCAACAGCACCTCAGCCTTGCCCAATTGAAGGTGGCTTCGGTTGGATGTGTCACCACTGCAGAAAAGTACACTTTGACCCGCGGTGAGCACACCCCTATATGCTTCATCACGATAACTTTTGACCAACTTATAAGTCAGGACCTCAGGACGATACCAGAGTCTTGATTTATGGTCATAGGCCCAAATGATGATAGGTGAAGTATCAACCAGGTTTTGACTGGTCTATGGATTCTCATTTTCCTCCGCCGAAGATTCCGTAGAACAAGTAAAAGGATTTGCTTGTCAAGACCTGTGGCCCAACTCCCTAATCTTTGAGCGTACTCAACACAGTTTTGGGCACCATTTCATTTTACTATTGAGAATTGAACCAAGATCCCATATTCCTGGATACATATAGATATGTACAATGCACAATAAATTACTTTCTTCAAGTCTTCAAGTGATCCCCACCTTGACACACTTTATATTCCGACATAGTTTCTGACATACCATCTGGAAGTATATATGGCATATATATATATATTCTGACATTCTATCTGACATTCTTTCTGGCATATATTCTGACATTCTATCCGATATTCTTTCTGCCATATGTATCTGGCATATCTTCTGACATTCTTTCTGTCATTCTATCTGGTATATCTTCGCAGATTCTTTGTGGTTGAGGTCCGGTTAACACTCTGATCCAGTGCTCGCGGCGGAGGTCCGGCGGGGAACGCTTTGATCCGAAGCTTGCGGCGGAGGTCTGGCGGGGAACGCTCTGCTCCTGACCTTGCTGTTCACTGCGATCTAGAGCTTGCAGTTGAGGGAACACTGCGATCTAGAGCTTGCAGTTGAGGGAACACTGCGATCTAGAGCTTGCAGTTGAGGTCCGGCGGTGGAGGAGGCGGAGGAGGCGGAGGAGCAGGAGGCGGTAGGCGGGACAGCTGACATAAAATCTAACAACCCTCACCTGACAGGCGGGGAAAAACCATACACATATCTATTTATATATGTTCAGTCATATTCCCATCAGTATTGGTTTCTACACACCCAATATCAAGTAATTATTCATTGATATTGGTTGTTTGAACTACCCTCTGGTAATCAAGGCACGGCAATATCCCACCATTTATAGATAATTTCCCCATAAAAACTTCAATTTTAGGGGATCTCCACTTTCCATGGCATGGTTACCCTTTGCTAAATTAACACTTCGACCCTGGAAATAGGCAACTTTTCGTGGAAACTGTATAGCCTTCCAATCCCTATTTGCCAGGGTCTATGTCAATTTACTGGAGGGCAAATACCATTGATTCCCATAGACTAATAGCCATTATGATATTCTCATGATATTACAATGGTATTCCCAAAATTACTGCAACAAACACACGAATAAATAAAATTGGAATAATGATTAATATTAATCATGAATAAGATTTGATTATTCATGGGGGCATCATAGTAATAACATTTTCATGTTCATTAACATGAACTCGAAACAACAAAAATATCTGGCAGGAAACACCAATATTTATTTAATTATTCACCATATACAATAATATCCTTAATTTAATAAATAAACAAATTACTAATAGTTCATAATAACAACTAACAATAACAATAATGATAGTATCATTAATATTAAAAACAATTTTCCCATATTGCATGAATCTGGCCAAATTGTAACGACTTCACTGTTCTCCCGAGCCCTGGAATCCTGGTTAATAAGGAAAACCACCATTTTTTAATGGGTAAATGAACTATAAATGGCAATGTTCAATAGCTATGTTAGTTTACCAGAGGGTATAGAGATTTTGTGTGATTTTATGTTTTTTTTTGAAATAACTGCAGTTATTACTATTATAATCATCATCATCATCATCATTACTAATGGACTATATCTGGCTGGTGGTTTCAAACTATATCTGGTTGATGATAATTTACCCAGATTGCCTTCTGATAAACTAACATAACTATGGAAAACCACAATTTTTTAACGGGTAAATGAACTATTTCGACTGGGCCATTTTCAATCGTTTTTTGTATGTTTACCAGATGAATAATCTGAAACTCGAACTTCGATGCCCAAAACCTTACCCTCTGGTAAATTTATAGTGGAATTTCGCGTCTTTCAACCCCCATCTGGCAGGGTCGAACTGTTACCCTCTGGTAATTTAACATAGCTATTGAAAATCACCACTTTTAATGGGAAAATCCACTATTGATGGTCATTTTCAATAGCTACGTTAAATTACCAGAGGATAATTTACTGGAGGGTAAGCGATGCTCCCAGGCGGGCGCCATGTTGTGCGAGATCCGACGGCTCAAGGAGGTGCCGCATGGCACGTTAAACCAAGATTCAGACGGAAGATCCAGCGAAACATGGAGGAGTTCACCATAGGAAAACCGTAGGAAAACCGTAAAACCATAGGAAAACCATAGGAAACCCATAGGAAAACCATAGGAAAGTGATGATTTATCCAAAAAACATGGGAATTGTCACATTAGAATGATGGGATAATCTTGGAAAAATGGCGTTTTTTCGGCAACAACAATAGGGATTTTGTTGGGGATACGAGTGGGATAATGGGATGATACAGTGATGTGTCTGAAAATGGGAGTTTTACCACCATGTGTTGACCATGAAACAGTAGGAATAAAATGAGATAATCCAGTAACCATTGGATTTTCAGAGTATCACATTTTCACACAAACAAACATATGATATCACATGATGCTGTACATAGAAAATACTCCCAAATATATGCGGATATATATAATATACAATAATGGAATTATGTTTCTTCCAATTCAAAACTCAGATTTTTTCGCAATTGATGAGGAAATGGGGTACACATCAAATCTCAAGATGTTGCAGAACCAGAGATTTACTGTAGATACAATTTTGACCCAGGTTGCTGAATGATTCTGGCGAAACCTTGCACGGATAATTTTGTACATAAATGTATAGTTTGCAACAAATGGATATAATGATATATATATATATACATGTATACATGTACTGTATACCGTGTTTTATATATATTTGTAAATCTGTACATATATTTATATATATGTGATTACATATGCATATATATATATATACCATATACGAACCAAGCAAATTTAACAGTGTATCGTAGTGTATCTAGGATTGGCAATGGATTGAAATCTCGAGATTCTGTTTTCACAGCATTGCGGTGTATCTATAGATGTCCTGCCATGGGCCAACATTGTAAGGTGAATGATCCCCGTGCCCATTTCCATCCATTTCCTCTAGGATTTGGTACAAAATGGGGATGTTGAAGTTCATATCATACCCGGTGGTTTGGAACACGACTTTTATTGTTCCATTCAGTTGGGAATGTCATCATCCCAACTGACTTTCACTCCATCATTTTTCAGAGGGGTAGGCTCAACCACCAACCAGAATATTATTAATCATCATTAACCATATAATAACCATATATTAACCATCATTAACAGTATATTAACCAGATGTTGTTCTATTTGGTAAACTAACATAACTATGGACAGATCCACCATTTTTAAATGGGTGAATCACCGAACTGGCCGATGGGCCATCTATACAAAAACGCTACGTAACTTAAATTACCAGAGGGTAAATATGTTTTAGAATGTTAGGATTCTCAGGGCCCGGGTCCAGGATTTCTCTAGTTTTTTTTTTCCTAGATGATGGCTAAAACAACCTCTGTGTTCACCATTTTGATGAAAGAAATCAAGAATCATAACCCTGTTTGAACGCTTATCTTATCCATGGCCCTTATTTGGTAGACAGAGTTTCCAGGCACTACCACTTTGTAGAGTCAGGTACAGCATTTTGTAGAGAAAAAAATGCTGGGTGACCACTACTATATGACTGAGTCCAACCCCACCACAATGGCAGAGGGATGGTAAATGATGATGAATTTGCCTGATGTTCTGGTTGGTGGTTTGGAACATTTTTTATTGTTCCATATATATACGTATATATATATATATACGTATATATATATATATCCATATATTGGGAATAGTAACCTCAACTGACTTTCATATTTTTCAGAGGGGTAGGTTCAAACCACCAACACATGTGTTGTTTTTGGTGATTTCCAGCCACTTTGTGTACAATGGTACTTGAGCCTGGGATAGCAGTGGAAGGCCCAGAGGAGAAATGGGGAGTCAAGGGTACGGCGCTCGTCATGGACAAATACCAAGCGTATTTGGAACCATTGGACCTACAAGCGTCGATGATCCGATGCCTTCTTCATGGGGGAGCGGCAGAACAAGGAGAGCTTCACTGCCTACGTGGCTCGAAAAAATACTAATTGTGTGTAAACCGTAAGTAAATTTGCCAGTTTGTGTTTGCCCTTCTCTTTCAAAATGAAGATCGTTATTTACATCATGTCTACAGGTTGACTTCTCAGTTCAGTATTCCTTCCAGTTGTCGTGGATGGGAAGAAACTATTTGGTTGTTTCTACTGGACGCTAGTCTTGTTTGTTTAGCCACCGGTGTGATCAAAGATTCACCTTGCCACCCTGCAGAGTGCAGTACCTTTGTATACCTTTGTTTGATTCAGGGACTGGCTGTACTACTTTTGGGACGCAAGAACTTCATTGTGTTGGCGATTTTTGCCTCTTGCCATGCAGTCACTTTATGCAGCAGTGTTCAAAACCCGTGCTGACAGCTTGGAGATGCTTGGAGGGTCTTAACCTACCCATTGGCATATTGGGTATTAGCATTATCCATGAACTGAAAATGTTGTTTTTAATCGTTGCGCTCTGGTTATCTAGCAGTCTAGCATATAGCTATGAAAATCGGTCATGAGAAAACATCGAACAATTGGTCATTTTCTAACAACCAGAGGCTACATTGAAATGACTGCTCAAATGCTTTGGCTCAATGATGGCTTATCCTTTTTTTGCCGTAGAATGGTAGACATCTATGATTGAATCTTGATCGTATGTGAAACAGAACTAGTTGGTAAAGCAGTTATCGATGAAAGACTATGATTTCTTGTACAATGTCCCTACAATCATTCCTATGACCCATGAACTGCCTTTTTTGTTGTTTAAGCATGTTTAGGCCAAAGGGTAACCATGCTTGCTAGTGGTGGTAAAGATCCCCATTTTCTGCACCCAAATGGCTTAGTTTAGGTCTCATTGAACCCTATTTGGGTTGTGTCACTTCCCAGTCCAGCGTCTGAAAACATGCTATGCCACCGTTTTATGGTGGCCGTTTCATGTGGAGATGCGATGATCAATCAATACCCGGTCTTTGATTTTCTGTTAAAGATCAGTACTTTAACACATGCTGGTGCTTTACCACATTTTTGGGGGGTGAACGAGCCCCTTGTCCCTCGGAAAATGGATCGGAAATCCAAAATGGGTATGTTTCAAGACTAACTCCAAAAAAGAACTATTCGAAAATTCAAGGTTTTCCTCCATCAAACTGGTTCAACCTTGGATACAGGAGGTACTTTAGCGCATGAAAAAAATACATAGTAAACTGCTGAACATGGTGCTTTTACCGTGTATCCAAGATTGGCCGTCAAGACTTGGCCAGCATATGGGTGCCCAGCCTCCTTTTTGAGAGCAATATCTATGTCATTCATTGCTGCCCCTGCCTGTTTGATCATTCAGTCAGCCTGCCCTCTAGTCAATAGTATGAAATCCCCCTTGCCGCCTCTATAAAATGGGGGTACCGAGGTCACGTTGGAAATGACATTTTAGTCAGCTGAGGTCTGTTTACACAGTGTCTGAGAAAATGAGATAAAACTTGAACGTGTTTAGTATGTAATACATGTAAATCATCTAGAAATTGGATCAAATCCTTTCCATATGGACGGATTTGACCCCCAGTGAATATCTATGTTAGTTGGATTTCATAGGTATATCATGGTATATCATCTACCAATCGGTCGTTTTCTGCAGTTATGGCCCTTAACAGTTTGTAAATGGGCTTATAGTTATAATATATATATATATATAATTAACCAACTAGCTATAAGAGTTATTTCATTCCATTTATAGCTGTTAAGAGACGTTTTTCTGTGGAGGGATACTCCCCACAATGTGGGGGCCCCAAGATAGCCAAGTTGGTTTATAAACCCCAATAACTATAGACTATAGATAACTATAGATATATTGGTTTATAACCCCCATTAACTATAGATATAACTGATATAACTACCATAAACCCAAGTTATTGAACTTATAGTTATATCAGTTACTATAGTTATATCATATCAGTTACTGGTCTAACTCCGCCTTGCAGATGCCAAAACCTCCGCAGGCCACATTGGAGCGTCGTGCGCAGGGCCAGACACGTCGAGCCCAGCGCTTGCTGGAAGAGACGGAAGCAGCGGTGCAGAGGTGCCACCTGGGAGGAAAACATAGGAAAGCCGTAGGAAACCCATAGGAAAATCGTAGGGAACCATAGGAAAACTATAAGAAACCCACAGGAAAATGGCGGTTTAACCAACAGAACATGAGGATTAATTGATAGTCTTAGTCTTAGAATGGTACATGAATGGGATATTAAGCATGAAACATGGAGACGATAGCTGAGTTGATGCACAGTTCACTTGTTGAACTGTTGGGCCTCACCTTGAATGGGTCACCAGGGGATTAGTTCACTCATCTAGAATAGAACTGGTTAGTAACGAGTTAGTAACGAGCTAGTAACAGCTTGGTAACCATAGTTGGTTCACAAGACTGCTAATGAGACAACCCGGGACTTGGGTACTTACGATACTTTCTCCAGCAATTCCAAGTAGATTGGCAAGCTGTAAGTAGGCACATGTTGGCCCCGTGGACTAATTGTGCTATCTTAGTATGTGGATTATCAGCCCAGCACAGTTAGTAGCATAAAACCATATAAATCCATCATACGTACAGAAAACTGTGCTAGTATGGTTATTCCTTCCGATTATTAACGTTAGCAATTGGAAAACCATGATTTTGTTCGATGATTTTCCCAGCGAACTAAACCTCCATGTCCTTCAGGAGTTCCCAGCTTGCCAAGTTGGACCATCGAAGGGTTAGTTAATTTCGAAACTCATCCAAGTATAAAAATACATGTGCTATAAACCATGCGTACATTGGTTACTTTAGGACCTTACTTACGGTATAAATGGAGGTGATCAAATAATCCCATCCCCCTAATATGAAACACCCCCAAATAGTTCCAATTATGTGGAAATTCCCTACTAAACCATGGTTTCTAAGGGGTGTTTAGTATTAGGTGGATGGGATTATAAACAACACATATCCAAATCTGCGGCCCAGACATGTGGGGTGACCGTAGCGTTATGATCGTTATTGACACAGAAGAACTAAGTGTTTTTTTGATGGGTTAATACTTATAACATCTTATAACATCTTATAACCCTTCATTCCATCCTCATTTTTTGGGGGTGAATTTTTGAGGCATCCCTCCATTGAAAAAAATATCCCACTGTATACACTATCAGTTCTGGATTCATGGGATTTTGCAAAGCAACTTACAGTATATCTGCAAAGGCCCACCTTGCAAAGGTGTGTCTGAAAGTGGTGGAATATGTGGGAATGATAAGAATGATATAAATCGAATTGTTTGGACTTTATGGTGATTCATAGGGTGTTCAATGCAGCTGCCCTGAAAACAGATTTGTGGTGATATATAACCAACTAGTTATAGGAGTTCTGATTGGATCTGATTGGTGGTTTGGACCGTTTTTTATTTTTCCATATATTGGGAAAACGGAAAAATAATCCCAACTGACTTTCATACTTTTCAGAGGGGTAGGCTCAACCACCAACCAGAGTTATAAGTCATAAGTCCATTTAAAACTGTTAGTTGGGCCATAACTGTGGTGATTTAGGGGGGATTCAACCGTTAATTTCTTTTGTGGTTTCTGTCGCGTTGGAGGCTGAAAGATTGCCGCCAGCAGAAGATTCGACTGGCGCGTGACCTGACCACATCGTCCTGCGGATAGCCATGACCATCATCCAAGTAGGACTATGACTTACATTGGGCCGCCAATGATATGGTTGTGGAAACCTCTGGCAACTCCACCAAAACAAACATGTGTTTTTAGATATCATAAAATTTGAATTTACATATATGCTGTACAAACGCATTTTACTTGATGGTCGGTTGGTAAATGAACAGATACATAGCAACTCAAAGATCGCTATTGACAAATCTATCATAATTCTATCACTCTGAGAATCCCACTTGTTTTTGAATGGTTTTCCTATTCACAACCCTGGTTTTTTCGTGTTATTTCGTGCCCGTATTTTTCGTGGCTTCTCCCACTTTTGAAGTGGGATCTTCGAAGCGCTGGGTATATATGCTAACATAAAGGGGGTATATTGATGGGATCCATGTTACCATATATAGCAGCACCATGGATCCTATGGGTTATAGAGAGCCATTAACTCATGATAATCATGATATTCTTCATTTTTTTGTTTTGATTAGTGTCTTAAGATCTGGTATTGAAGTTTTGTGTCGAGTTTTTGTCCAAACTGATTCCCGATGCCCTCTGCACTAATAATCTAAGATGGAAGTTTCCTAATTATATAATGAAGCAATGGGAGTACCTGCAAATCATCCAAGTCATGGATGACCATGACTTAGTATTGAAACCTGTAGTGACTTGTTGATCTCATATTAAATATCCCATTGAATGTATTTCCATTAAATATTCCCATGATTGATTAAATCATGATAATCTATGATAACCTTGTTGATATTCCCAGGATCATATGATTATTATATTCGAGTAATTAATTAATATTACATTATATCCAATTTTCAATTTATCAATATAGCCGATAGGTATATTACCATTATTGATGATGTTTCTCATATTATATATTATTATATCATTCTGCTATGCTTTTTACTAAGACTTGTTCCCATATATAAATATTATTTCATCATGATTTCTAGTGATTACTGTACTTGTAAATGTTGTTTCTTTCTCCCACTATATCTCATTAGCATGTTATCATTATTGGTGATTAATAGCCCCATTTGAGTACCTTCATAAACGATACGGGACGAGCGTATACCAATACCCATTTTGTGATACCTCCAAGAGTACTGTAATCCTCACAACCAATAGAGGACGACCCTAATTTGTGCATGGCATTAAATTTGACAAATAATTTTGTCCGCAACTCATATAATTATTCCAGCTGTTCTTCCACCTTTTTTCGCAACCGTACCCAGCCCAGTGGCTTCAGTGGCTTCAGGTGCACGCAAGGCGCGTCTCTGCCGAGCGGAAGGTGCGAAACACCATGGAGAGGTAACGGACTTTTACTGGAAAAGTTTTGGAAAATGGTGATTTGGAAATCCAAGATTTTCTGCAGTTAGCAGTTAGCCGACAAAAAAAGGAGTTACTGAGTTTAGCCAAAATGATGATGTTTTGGCACCACACAGCAGTTAAGGTTTCTTGGTTTCTTCAGTAGATTTCCCGCAAAAAAAAAGGTTAATCATGCCAAAGGACAGGAGGTTTTTACCATTCTTCACTCGCCAACATGGGATTTTGATGGACTGATCCCATGAATCTCTGGGACTTTGATGGGTGTTGAAGCAGCGATTTTTTTTGGTTGTGTTTTGGCGCCATTACCATAGCACCATCAACGGGATTTACGTAGCATCAAAAATAACAAAACTCTATGGTTTTAGGCGGTACGCAGCAGATGTTGTCAGGTGTTTGAATGTAAATTCAGTGGGCGCAGACAAGACTAGAAAACGAACCTGGAATTCACACAGCCGCGGATGGGTTGCCTTTGAGGGTTGGACCTCCAATTTCTAAGGGTCAAAACATGTCAAAACATTGAAAGAAATGAGTGAAGTGACACCGATGCATGTTCATCGGACAATTGTCTTCCACGGGTTAGCGGATGCAGAACCTTCATGTTTACAGGCCCAACCACCACCAACTGTTGATTTATATAGGTTGATTTATCTTCAAATTGCTGTTTTTGTGGGGCTGATTTTTATTGTTTCTGTTTTTGTTTGTTCTGTTCGAACCAAGTTACCTTTATTATTCCGGATTATATAGCTGGGTCAACCTTGTTCAGGTACTATCAATGGTAAAATCAGTCCATTCACAAGTTTTTGGATTGGCAGGTAAAAATAAAAAATCACCATGACAAAGGGGGGGGTATACGAACACATATCTTCGGGATTAAATCATTATTCATCCAGATTTTACATAACCATCAACTCCGGTGTTATTTTTACCCCAAAAATCGATCGTTTTTGTTGGGTTTCGATCCTTTTTTTTGGTAAGTTAAAGATTCCAGTCTTGGGAAGCTATTGAAAATGGCCATCGAAATAGACTTACCCATTAAAAATTTGGTGATGTTCCATGTTTACCAGAGGGTATATTCCATTATCCCATGATATTCCCGTGATATTTCAAGGATATTCTGTAACTTGGTCAGTTAAAAATGGTGATTTTCCATAGCAAAATGGTGATGTTTACCAGAATATTATAGTCAATAGCCAGTAATAGTAGTGATAATCACTATCAATATTGATAATCAGTAACTATCATCATTTATTAATCACTATTAACCAACAAATGATGCAAAATGAGAGCCACGAAAGAAAACCAAGGGTTCCTTCGCCTCGCAGCGCCGCAGATGTCACTGGGCACCTCTCTGTGGGCACCTTGGTCTTCCGCGGCAGGCGCCGGCCAGCGCCGGTTTCGCCTTTTTGAAAGGTCTAGAAATGGGGGGTTCCATCCACGGGGGACCCCCAAAATGGATCAAAATGGTTGGTTTATAATGAAGAATCCCATGAAAATACGATTGATTTAGGGGTAATCCCCAATAGCTGATTGGTTTCTAGTGAAGAATCCATCTATAAATGGATGATTTAGGGGTAGCCCCATGACTTAGGAAAGTCTAGAACTATGGTGCCCTAGTGATGTTTGTTGGTTTATTAACTGAGGATATTATGGAGATATGGAAATTGATATATGTGAAAGGCACTATTGATGCTTGTTGGTTTATAAACGCCACTAACGAGTTCGATAGATCTATATACCATAAACATCCATAAACCTCATAGACCCAAGCGTGAAATTGGAGTCATTTGCAGCAATTTAACTATCTAGGGGGGCCTTCGATGTAAGTTGGATTTCAAAAAACCTCACCCGTTTATGCAACAGTTTGTGGAACTGGGATGATCTGGGCGTTTTGAGCAACAAAGTGGAGACATCCTGACATTCACAGTCACATGTTTGTTTTTTTCAAAAGCTAGCAGCTCGTAGCTCCAGTCAATGTTGAACCACACATGAGAAGTCAACATTTGGTTGGTAGTTTGGAACATGAACGTTATTGTTCCATATCTTGGGAATGTCATCACCCCAACTGACTTTCACTCCATCATTTTTCAGAGGGGTAGGCTCAACCACCAGTGGATGCGCAGTCAGAGCGTTCAGGATATGCATCCAATCTCGACCGTTGTTTGGTTTATCCAAAAGCTGTAGCCTTTTTGACATTTCTGAATGGTGATGTTCATTGATGTTCTATATTCCTCTATATATTCATCTATCTTCCATGTGTTGTTCTATATTCATCTATATTCAATAGTGTTTTTGTTGAGGTACAGTAAATTCTTCGAGAGTTTGAACACGTTTGAAAGAAAACGAGTTCTTTGAGAAGCTGAGGAAGGTTCATGTAAGACCTACTGTCGATGCACACCATCATTATCTACATATATCCAATCCACGGTTTTCACTGTAAACCTCTTCCTGTAAAACAGGTACCGCACTTCAATTCAAAAACATTCTGGTGAGATATAGATTGCATCTACCCTCTGGTAAACTAACATAGCCATTGAAAATGGCAAATTTTGGTTTATATACACTAAAATTGGTGATTTTCCATGGTTATGTTAGTTTACCAGGCCGGGTAGATGCAAATACATGTTCTGAGTTTCAATATTGCTGTCCCCAGTCCTGTGTAAATTAGATCCGTTGAAATCGGGCTGACAAAGCCATGGCTAAAGGTTGGTTCATTGGTATTCCATACATTGTTGGTTGATTATGTATTCCAAAAAACAACCAAATATTGATTTGTTTTGGTTGTGTATATGTCAATTATTGATTTTGTTGGATATGTAACATGTATGTATATGTATATATATATATACATATTCATACATATATGTATATATATATATATATCCCAGTATACTATACCGTTTAATCCCTATGTTGCGGGGCAGGAAGGGGTCCGTAGCCAACTGAACCGGATAAAAATGGAGGTTCCAATGGGGGATCCCCAAAAACGCCTTGTTGGTTTATGAGAAAATCCTCTGACAATGGATGGGGGCACCCCTATTTTAGGAAACCTCCATGTATACCCTCTGGTAAACTAACATAGCTATGGAAAAACACCACTTTTAATGGGAAAATCCACTATAAATGGCCATTTTCAATAGCTATGTTAAATTACCAGAGGGTATCTGCTATAGCAAGTATCCCAAGAAGCATCATCAACATGTGGCAAGTACGGATTTGGGAGACCCCATCAGACAAACCCATGTAGTTTTAGGCGACAAGACGTTGGCAGTCACCACCTTGTACTTATCTATACCCTATGGATCCAAACATTTCCTCAGAAGGTACTCGGATCCATAGGGTGTATACATACATATATACATATATAAACATGTGTGATCATGTGTGTAGATATTTAGTCATTCTGGAGCTAAATAGACTGTGGATATTTAATAAAACAATCGTCACAAAAATGTTAAAACATCTCAAGTTCTATCTACTGCAGGATGATTATTATATATATATATATTTATAGATCGAATTAAACATTCTCAGACACACCCAGCTATCATATTGTTGGCTACATATGCCATTCTATTCCATAATCTTTATTGTCCAATGCCACCTTTGATTTTGGGAAAGTATTTATAGTTAAAATCCATTGTACAGATTTCCGGAGAGTATTTGGAACTAAATATATCTATCTATATATATATATATATATATATCATGGATTTTAGCAACATTTATACAGATTTTCCAGTTAACTAAAATCCATGGTTTAGAAAATGAGCAGCTACGATTTGCCCATCAGTCGCCCCGTGGAACTCTCCACAGACCTCCGCGAGGCATCGCTTGCAGATCCAACGCTGTCAAGGTGGATGTTTCACGGATTCTGTCAGACTTACCCGGCCTGGTAAACTGTCACATAACTATGGAAAGATCCACCAGGTTTAATGGGAAAACTCACTATTTCTATGGCCATGTTCAATAGCTATGTTAAATTACCAGAGGGTACCTGGCAAATCTCTGAATTTCCATAAAGAATGCAGAGATTTTGGCTATGTAATCGCCAAAAAGATGCAGAACAGCGAAAAAAAAAACTAAAACGGATTAAAGATTGTTAAAATAGAAGTCCCAAGTCACAATGGGCTAGTGACCCCATTCTTTGAGGTACTGGGAGGGTAGGAGCTTCCTAAACGCTATCTTTTTGGGAGTCGCTATAATCTATGTATGGAAATACAACAGTGGATTATAACCATACAGATCAAACATTGGGTTGTGTTGTTTGGCTTAGTGTTGTTTGGCTTAGATTGGTTAGAGTATGCTCATCACTAGTACTACTACCATCACCAACACTTAAACCGAGAAGAGCAAACCACACAGGTCAACCTGCATTAAAAGATATTAAAAGGGTCTCAACGTGACCAAAAGATCTGGAATATAGTTTAAACTTTTCTTGCAAAAAAATGTTATAGTTTTAGTGCAACTAACATCAACTAACTCTTGAACGGACATATCGTTTTGGCTCGAGGAGAGCCAGGATCTCTAATTTCTTCACGTTTGTAAGCCGCAATATAGGGATGAGTAGCCTGGGATCCCATAGTTTTATTTTTATTTTGTTTTAAACCCATTTCGTGTTTTGTAGTCCAATTTTTTAACCCATCTAATCTGGGATTACAAAAATATAATAACATATCTATCCCATGTTAATCTGTTTGGGTAGGTTTATGATGGTGTAAAAAGTAAAAAGTGTGTTTTTGTTGCACAAACTTTTAGCATCTGTTCATGAATGATTATGCAGACTTGCGCAGTCTCTCACTCCTTGTGTTGACGGAGGCTCTCACTGGAGACTTGGATGGTTTGGGATGAGCAGGATGGGGCCCCCGTGTTCGTTGAAAACGCGTTCAGTTGCCGAAGATTTTTGTGGCTGAATTAACGATGGTTTATGGTAATATAGTAGATATAACATGATATAACTATAGTTAGATGGGGTTTATAAACCAACTTATAACTGAATTTTATGGTGTACGGTAGTAGATATAACGAAGTTTTCATGGGCTTTATAAACCAACAAACATAACTGGGGGGGCCCGTCCTGTATGATTTCCCATAGATTTCCCACATATTTTCCATGTCCCATAGAGTCCATAGATTTGGGGTTTTCCTTTTCCCATCGATTTCCCATAAATATGTCATAGATTTTCGGTGTCCCATAGATCTGTCATGTATTTTTAATTTTCCATGGACGTTGCTATGAATTACCCATCAATTTTCCACCCGTAGATTTTCCATACCCTATGGATCCAAACACTGTCTGAGAAGGTACTTAAGACCCTACTTCCTAAGAAGGTACTTGGATCCATATAGGGATAGATTATCCATCAATTTTCCATGAATTATCCATCAATTTTCCATTTCCCATACCCAAATGCTCCATGTATGGAATATTTACCAACATTTACCCTAAAAATCACCCAAATGTAGGTAGATATACGGGATCGATGTTCCATGGATTATCATGGATTATCCATCAATTTCCCCTCGAAAAAACAACATCACCGCTCGGTCGGCCACCATGCGACCAGGGCCGGGCGTGCCACTGACCCCCTCGAGCCTTTGTTGGCTGCGCTTTGAAGCTGCAGCACCAGGCGAAGCTTCGCCTGTCAAGTTCTCCGGTTAGGGATTTCACCGAAAACATGGGGAGTTTCTGTGATTTTTGGGGATTTTGACCAAATAAAGATGGTGATAACCAGTGATAGCTGATAAAATATGTAATGAGTGATTTATATAGCAAAAAACTATAAAAAAAACTGGACATATCACGATTCGGAACATGGGAATTTGAGACAAGGAATAGGGAAATGGTGGTTCGGCAAACCTTTGGGATTTTTCAGCTGCCTGGGAAACCCTAGGATTGGTAAGGATGCGAACCATGAAACGTGGGAATCATACATAGAAACACTAGAAATAAACCATGCATAACTGGGGATATTCGATTTTTGACTGCAAGATGGTGCCCCAGTGAGCTACATCGCTAAGATTGTTTTATAACTCACTAGTAAATGTTACTGTCGGGTTTATGGTGGAATCGATGGAACTGTTCAATGAATCTACCATCATTCGCACTATCCAGTGGTGAATGGAGGGAGTGGTTGCCATAATTACCCTCTGGTAAACTAACATAACTATGGAAAATCACATTTTTTTATAGGTAAACCATCTATAAATGGGCCATTTGACATAGCTATGTTAGTTTACCAGAGGGTATACCCTATGAATGATGAGGAGCCACGGAGCTATACCTGGTTGGTGGTTTGGAACATTTTTTTCCCATTAATATTGGGAATGTCATCATCCCAACTGACGAACTCCATCATTTTTTCAGAGGGGTAGGCGAAAAACCACCAACCAGATGCTCAATTGAGTTTATCTTCCACATGAGCATCAACCTAAATCCTTTTTACAAGATGGGCTTCCTAATATTATCCGTTGGTATAAACACCATTAGTTCGATCTACCATAAACATCCAGAAACCGTAGAATTTTAGTTCCTAGTGATGTTCACCAACTGAGCTATCACAAATCAGCTAGAAATCCTATGAAATCTCAATGTTTCTCGGTTCAATCATCACTTTCCTATGGTTTTCCTATGGTTTTCCTCAGTTAAGTCACCATTCTTACCATGAATCCATGGATCGCCATTTTTCGTCGCGGCGTGTCTGTGCAGGTCGCAGGGCGCTGAGCGATGGTTTAGAGGACGGGTCTGGGGGTCTGGCGCTAGGTTTGGGAGAACACGGTGGTGCTGATGGTTGGCCAACCAGATATCAATAGGGGATTAATAGATATATGTTTTTTAAGTTTAATATATCTGGTTGGTGGTTTGGAACATGAATTTTATGACTTTCTATATATTGGGAATAGTAACCCCAAATGACTTTCATATGTTTCAGAGGGGTTGAAAAAAACAACCAGATGGGGATAGGTCGAAAGCTGTAATTTGACATAGCTATTGAAAATTGCCCATGTAGTTCGTTGATTGACCTATTAAAGATGGTGATTTCCATCGCAAACTGTTAGTTTACCGGAGGGTAACTAACTGTAATATCCAGTTCATATCCATGGTATATCCAATGAAATCCCCATCAGTAATTCACCATGAAATATTCACAGTGTATACTGTGATATATAAATTGATTTAATACATTATTACCCTCTAGTTATTTAACATAGCCATGGAAAATGGCCCATTAAGAGATGGTTTACCTAAGTTTACCTATTAAAAATGGTGGATCTTTCCATGGCTATGTTAAATAACCAGATGGTAATACATTAATTAAATCCCCCATCAGTACAGAATCCCCCAGGCGACCCGTTGTGAAGCACGCGACCCAGAGGAAAAAACGATGGCTTCTCCGTCCCCAGAGTGGCGACGTCGCTTTGAGGTGCCCCCCGGGACTCGCTTCACATGGTGGAATTCACCATGAAAGATGTGAGTTTTATGTGGGTATGGATCAATACCTATGAATACCATTTTTAGGGGAATGAACATCCATTTACCAGCTATTTTGATGTTCACCAGGGGTACAAGGTTTTGACACACTGCCATGTGTATGTGGTCTGGGTAAATTATAACGACCTCACTGTTCTCCCTCACTGGAATCATGGTTTATGTTAGGGGAATCATCCCCTTTTATGGCCGCAAGATTCAGGTTAGTGAAATATTATAATTTACCCAGATGTGGTTTATGGGGATTCAACCAAAGATCAGTGATAAACAATTGTGAAATTTAGTGATTTGGCAAGTTTTTTTGGGGATTTCAACATATTTCAACCATCAGGAACTGGGAATTGATCCATGAAACAAATTGGGGACACCCTTCAGATAGACCCTCGGATTGGTAAGGAAATTCACCCAACCTCCAAATTTGGGACATGGCTTAATCCGTAGAAATCCGTAGAAACACTAAAAAACATAGTTAAATAAGCCATGTTAATATCTGGGGATATATGTTTGGCTGCAAATTGGATTTACAACTCACTTATATTTCATTGTTGGGTTCATGGATGTTCATGGTAGATATGTTGAATTTGTTCATGGGGGGTTATAAACAAGCTTATAAGATCTTATAAGTGGGAGACACTACCTTGCATGGGTCTCCGTATCCCCAAAAATGGATCGCAACCTACCAGTAGTTCACTCCCTGGAGAATGTGGCAGTCAGTTTGTTTAAAGATGTTTAAAGTGCATATCTCATTTTGTTTTGACCCAACAATGCCCAACATGTAATCGTAATATATCATAATATAATGTATCATAATTATATATATCATAATATATCATAATACATCATAATTATTTGTTCAAACATATCCAATTAATTTCGGAATAAAATTCCTGGCAATATTCGGATTTGTGTTTCAATGCTTAAATCATCGTCCAGCGTCGATTTCTTCATGGGTAAAAAACAAGCGTCGACGTGAGGTCCCGTTCTTTTCCTCGTAAAATCCAAGTTTTTGCCGTCAAAAATCAGATGGTGTTTTTTTGGCAGTGAACTCGTGATTTTCGGGGTGAACCATCCATGTCAAGTCCATGTTTGTTTGGCAGGTGAGGTTGTTTACCATCTGGTAAACATACAAAAAGCTATTGAAAATGGCCATTTATAGTGGTTTTTGTTCCATTCAAAATTGTGATTTTCCATAATTTTGTGTATGTTTACCAGAGGGTAACAATAATGGATTGTTTAATCATGTTTAATCATTCACAACATGAATAATCCATTTACTTTTGTTAAACATCCATTGTATCGGATGTCAAGACCAGGGAGGAGAGTTTTCTTTTCGAACCATCCTCAATCAGGTTGATCCCAACGTACCCTCTGGTATACAAAAAACGATGGAAACTCACAATTGTTCATGGGAAAATCAACTATAAATGGCTATTTTCAATAGCTTTTTGTTTGTTTACCAGAGGGTAGCTAGTTCGATATAAGATTATATAACTACCATAAGTCCCAAAAACATCTTAGAGGTTTCATTTTGTGAAACATCCATTTTTCAACCAGGTTCCTCGGTGGAAAGACCTCCTGACCTTGTTGGCCTGTCGGCTGTGCAGGAGTCCTTGTGCCAGCTCTGGATCCGGAACGTTGATGCGATGCTCGACGGACCGGTCGCCGCCATGGCAGGGGCCAATGATAGGCTTACCCTGGTAACGAAACACATAGAGTCAATTGATGTTCGGGTAGAAAAAACTTCATTAGCTTAAAATAGAGTTATAGAATTGATGTTGGGGTTTATAAATTGATATATTTTTTGGTTATTTGTTACATAGCTATGGAAAATGACCCATAGAAATAAATGATGTACCTATTAAAAGTGATGATTTTCATGGATTTTCCATGGCTATGTTAAATAACCAGATGGGGTACTTGATGTTGGGGTCAACAAAAACAAATCTAATGAGCTATACTTGGGCAGTTAAGGTTACACATGGATGGTATTTGAGTCATCACTTGGTCACTGGAACTGCACTTCCAAGTAGATCCCTATGGATCCATGGCCACTGTCTGAGATGGTACTTATATAAGCCTCCAAATTATAGTAAAGTATACCCCAGTCCCAATTCCTAAGAAGGTACTTGGATCCATATGGGGGATGGTTGACAAGCTGGGTTATCTACAAATTGTGGATTTTCGACATCCATATGTTGGTCTACTGCGTTTACTGGAGGGTATACCACATTTCGGGGGGCTGAACATCCACAAACAGACCAACGGGATGGCTAGCAATCCAAGGGCCCAGGGCACTTTGGCAAAAACTGTCGTATTTACCCATTCTTTTCCTGCGTGAGATCCATGAAGAGATAAACAAGTAACCTTGAAACCTCCATTTGTCGGGATTTTCCAGGCATGTTGACCGAAATTTTACCCATGGTTGATTTCTGTTTTTTTTGCGGGCCTTAAAACCCCCCGTTGTTTCTCCAGTTTTCAGATGGGAAACATGGCTTGATGGACCTTGACGGAGCGCTAAGGAATTTGGCTGAAGCCAGAGCTTTGCTGCTACCATTCAGCGAGGTCACCGGGATGTCCAGGGAAGTTGATATGGTTATGGGATGTTATGGGTACCAATGGACGCACAAAGAACAACAGAAATGTTATATTTATGGGGAGTCAGCCATCAAACATGTGTGATTCAAGATGGTTTAATCATTTTCAGCGTCATCTTTTTTGGGGTCCAATTCTTTTCCATATCAAGATGGTCGTGCGGCCAGTTGTCTTCACATTTCACCCAGAATGAAGACATAATTGAAACTTCATCCATACGTAGTATGGGTTTGTCTGAAAATAGGGTACGGCACCCCTAATTTTAAATCCATTGGGTTCTCATAATTTTGCTATGAAAGAAGCATTTTTGTACCGATACCTGATTTCCAGACACACCCTGCCTCAGCTAGAGTTCTAATTAGCTGCCGCCAACCAGAAATTATAAGATCTTAGCCCGAAACTTTAGCAATTGATCCCTTAAATTCTCATTGCTGGTGTGTATGTATATATATATATATATAATGTGTATATATAGCGATGGACAATGACTTAGAACATCGGATTTGTTCCAAATTTTTGGAGTCCCAGACTTAGAACATCCAGAGACCCTCACACTTAGCACATCCAGAGCAAAATCAGTTAGAACATCCTATATGTAGTTTGATGGATGCTCTAAAGTGTGAGGCTCCTTGCAACTGACCCTGGCTCCCCACACATAACATCACTTAAGGAACAGCTCGTTCAACAAAAAAATGTTGCTGTCCCTGCTGTTCTCTACTGAGTGAATGCCTTTGAAATGCTACCATGGGACCATGAGCAACGCCCCACACATAGAACATCACATCATGTATGCTGTAGGTGACTTGATTGATCTATTTGAATTGAAAAGAACAAATAGCATTGACTAAAAAGTAAAAATGCAATATTATAAATATTGATGGAATATGCTTTGATCATTTTTTATTTACCTATTTATTTGTAAGAGTCTTGTATTAATTTGTGGGGCTAGCTGCAATTGCGTGAGCTTCCCCCACCTGATGCTGAAATTGTAGACTTGTCCAATACCTTACCTCAATCTCAACATCCTACAGCTCTTTCTTTCATTCCAACCCCTGCTCACTAAAACGAAGAGTTTCAGAGTGCCAAACGGGAGATAGATGTTCTATGTGCGGGGCTTCCCCCCACCTATTCGAGAACCTTGGTGACCGTCTACTCTAAGAGACCTGAGGCTTGAAGCTTATTTCAACTTTACTTTCCGCTTCCAACCCTTCATCTTGAAGAAGCAACAGCAGTTTCCCTTACAACATCATGCATTTGGCATGCTCTAAGTGTGGAGGTATCCGCAGGTGATTGATTCTGATTGATAACTTTGTGCTCATATAGATATAGTTACAGTATGTCAGTAGATATTTATAAACATATGTGTGGTGTATATGTTCAAAGTGGGGGGGGGGTTTTCGGATGTTCTTAAACATAGCTCCCAGTGTACTTTAAACAAAAGATGTTCTAAGTGATTGTCCGTTGCTATCTATCTATCTATCTACCTATCTATCTATCTATCTTTCTATCTATCTATCTATCTATCTATCTATCTATCTATCTCTCTCTCTATATATATATATATATATATATACGGTACTGTAATGCTATTTAAATATGTGGAGGGCGGGCCAGACCGCGAGGCCCCGGAGGTAGCATGAAATACCAGTTCGCATATTTAAATGTAGTTACCGTATGTTTAAATTCAATGGATTCCGCATGTTTGGATGGCCCGGCGGGCCAAGGAAAACCTTTCCGGAGGTAGTCTAAAATACCTGTTCGTATATTTAAAAGTCCGTATATTTAAATGTAGTTACCGTATGTATATGTATAATATACATTATATATATATGTATATATATACGTATGTATATATATATATACATATATATATATACATATGTGTATATATATATATATGCATATACACACATATACATATATATATATATATCCACATACATATACCCACAGGTAATGAAAGGTGGCATCCTCCATTCAGACCTCCAATTATATGTAAGGATTTTCCAGCCTGCCATGTTTGATGACTGGAGTGTATTCCTTACTACATGTCCACCTCCCAGTCTTGATCATCGTAGTTTTTCCCATCGATGTTGATGGTAGGTTCCTTCATTGATCCATCGTCTTCAAGTTGGCTTGATACAGGTGTGGTTGTTGGAAAGTTGCCAGCTTGATGGTCTTTCGGATGTGCCCCAAAAAGGAAAAGGGATATGATGTTTAAGAATGTTTAAGAAACAAATGGTATCTTAGAAAAAAGAAAAAAACATCAAAACATCATATACCCAGGGAAAACATCATAACATCCCCAGGACTTTGGAATCGGTCGTTGAATCCGTTTTGTTTTTTTTGCTGACCTTCTGAAACGTTTTGATGGGATCAGGTCAGCGGAAACGTTAACAAAAAGAGCAATTGAAGCCATGACCATTGACCTATGAAAAAAGGTGATTTATAGTGGATTTACCCATCAAAAATGGTGATTTATAGTGGATTTACCTATGAAAAAAGGTGATTTATAGTGGATTTACCAGAGGCTAAGTAAACACACTGTAAACTTGGATGTTCTTGGTATATCATATCTGGATATCTGGGTCAAGGTCGACTGGTTTGATACGAAGTGGTACAAGTGAATCTTTTGCTACCAATGGATACCAACGGTAAAGTAGTATTAGTACATTCACCAGCTAAAACACATATAATTTGAAAGGTATCACCATGATATATGGTCCCATTGCGATTCGAGATTGAGACACGTCAGAGGAAAATTTACTGGTCTTACCATGACACTTGGTGGCTCATCAACGCTTGCTAAGGAGGTCATATCCCTGGTTTTAAGTGGGATAAGCACGGTTAATCCACTTATAAGTAGGATTTAAAATTGTGACCTACTTACTAAGTGGGATGAGACACCAAGTACCACGGTATTTTACCTTCGACTTGTTTTAGGTTTCCTCTCAAGTTTTCATTGAACCAACTGTGTGGACTGAATATCATTTCAGATTGGCATATGGGGAAGGCAACTGGACGGGTCGTTTCATCCTTAATTAATGGGAGCATGGTTTGCTGATGATTTTCCGAGAGGGTATTCGTTCAAGGGTGCATGTTTGCAGATCCATGTTTCCAACCGTTTTCTGGTTGGTGGTTTGGAACATGACTTTTGTGACTTTCCATATATTGGGAACAATAATCCCAACTGACTCATATTTTTCAGAGGGGTAGGTCAACCACCAACCAGATTCCTTGTTTGTTTCCTAAAGTTGAGATTGGACCCATGCCGGTCTTAGTAGAATAGTGGAGGCTAAGTCTCAGGATGGCATTTCATGTCGTGGGGACAACCAATCTCGATGCATAGATTGTTGTTGAAATGTGTTACATGATGGCGGTGATGAAGATCATCATGATGATAATTCGAGAAAGACAAAGCTCCAGAAGAACTTCCCAGAAATTGGGAAAATCTGCAGGAAACACTCAAAATTGGGAGTAACAACCATTGTTTCCAGAGAAAATGTTCCCTTCAACCAATCCATTGAGAAACTATGCAGAAACAAAACGCCTCGATGGTTTAAGCGATTGGTTTCCATCATTGTTTCTGTTGGTTTATTGTGTCCTGGAGATTTTCCCTCAGCAATGACACACATTTGTTTTTTCAGTAGCCAAATGTAGGCAATGTTTTTTGTTTGTCGACTGTGTTTTTGGTTTAAGGGATTGATTTCCTCATGGTTTCCATAAACCAGCAAAAGAACACAATTTGATGATGCTTCAACATGACAGTTAATCCCTTTTCATCTTCATGTTCCTTTAAACAAAATCCCATGTTTCCTCCATTTCTTCCTGGTAAACATGTCACTTTTCCAGCCATGCCCGGACCGATTCGCCAAACAAAAAAAAAGGCGGGCGATTTCCTGCAGGCTGTGGCCGCGCAGAGGCACAACAATTCGGCGATTTCGCTGGGGTTGTGAACAGTCGGTGATGTGGCTATGGATCAATACCTATTATATAATACCATTTTTAGGGGAATGAACATCCATTTACCAGCTATTTTGATGTTCACCAGGGGTACAAGGTTTTGACCCATCCCGATGTATTAAGTGGTGTAATGTCAACATCGGATTAATGAACCCCCCCCACAAGGTCAGATGGACCTTGGAAGGGGTTGAATAATGGGGCACATGGGCTCATTGGGAGTACCCATTAATGGAGCTATCGAAACTGATGATTTTTTGTTCAAGCATTTAATTAGAAATCGATCATTTGGGGAAAAGTTTTTATTTTCTCAAATTTTCAATGATCAGCAGTGATGGATTCTGGTGTTCATGAGGTTTCAACTTAAGTATGGAATAAGGAAGCCATTTGAAAATAAAGAGAGTTGGAAAATAAAACAAAATGGGATTTCAGCACTGGTGGTGGATTAATCATGTCCTAGCCAAAAAGTTTATTAATCCGGGGGGGACCACCTGTTTTTAAATTACTTTCTTTTTGGGGGGGGGGGCAGAGGAGGTTGATTAATCCGGCGGGGTTTACTGATCCTAACTTGACATTATATATATATACTGGTTGGTGGTTTGGAACATTTTTTATTTTCCCCAACCAGATTGGGGATGATGATCCAAGATTTGACTAATATGTCTAAAGATGGTTAAAACCACCAACCAGATATAATTATATATAATGGATATATTATATCTAATATGTATTCTAATGGAATGGCACAACTCCTATAACATCCTATAACATCCTATAACTAGTTGGTTATATATCATTATAAGGCTAATTATCTTGGGGCCCCGTTGAACGTTTGTTCCTGTTTGTCAAATCTTCAATCTCCCCCTCAGAAAAATGATTACCATTATTTTTGGATTAAGAATTGTCATGATTTATTGCATACTTTTATCTATTGGGGGGTTGCCACTATTCCTTCCTCTCCATACCCATCCTGCACCCCATTTTCCTGGGCCATGCCAGACGTCAACTGCAATTGCCAGCGCCGTAGGCAGGACTTCGGCCGGGGGAGGTGTTGTTTTGTGTTTCAACTACCTGGGATTGAGATGCATTTTGAATGTTACTTCAACAGTTGCCAAATTTCGAAACTGGTTGGTGGTTTCAAACATTTTTTATTTGCCATTTCATATATGGGATAATCATCCCAACTGACTAATATATATGTTTCAAGAGGGTTAAAACCACCAACCAGAATATATAGTGGTTTATAATCAGGGATATCATGGTTAATAACCGTATTGAAACTAGTTATACTACAGTTATACCCTCTGGTAAACTAACCAACCAGGAAATTTCATGGAAATTTCATCCATTAATATAGATAATAATCCATTAATATATATATATATATAAACATATATAAATATAGTAGTTAATATATCATCTAATTTCAATTCCATCACGGACCCTGTGTTTTGCTCACGACTTGATCCCGAGATATCCCAAAAAACGATTGAAAATGGTGATTTACTTCGTGGATTTTCTCATGAAAAATTAGGTGATTTTCAATAGCTTTTTGTTAACGTTTACCAGGCCGGCTACAACAATTCATGGGATTGGTTTAGGGGAAATAAAACACATATTTGATAGTCAAATCTGGTAAAAGTAAATTCCAGCCAGTTTCTGGTGTGGGAACACCCACCGACCAGGATTCGCCGAGTGCAGCCATGCCATGCCATTGGTGTCCCCGAACTGTGAAGGGGTTGAATTCAGTGAATTCGCAGCCGCAGCAGGGACCATCAGGGACCAGCAGGGACCGATATATTTCTTACACTTCGCTATGAAAAAAGGCCCCATTTACAGATGATTTAGGCATCAACAAAGGTGATTTTCTATGGTTATGTTACATTACTAGAGGGCAAGTCCACTGAAGATGAGTGACTTAGCGAAATAAAAACATTGTGTATATAATTGGTCGGAAATTCCAAAATGTTGCTTCGTACTCGTAGCCACATCTCTGGTCACGGTTCGTGAATCCATTTCTTTTGAAGGGAGCTTTTTTGGGCAGCTGACAAACATGTGTAGTGTCAAACCTGCAATCTTTTGACAGAAATGCTGCGTGGCAGTCCTTTGGACCTCCTGCCACTGGTGGTGTCAAGGTCATTTAGATGTCTGATTCGCCATTGCTACTGAACGTTTCCAGAATAACTATTGGCACCAAGACGTTGTTGCTTGTCCATTTTTTTCAAGTTTAAGGGGCACTTGTGTTGCATTCACAGCAATGGGGGATCTGCATGCTGTGTCCCCGCGAGGGTTCCCCTTGGGTTCCAAACCATCGCCGGAGAAGGATGCCATCCCCGCGACCAGACATGTCTGATTTGGTGGTTTCAAGATGTTTGGAATACATCTGCCCAAAAAGAAAAAAACAACAGCAAGGGCGAGGAAATCACCACCTGAAAAATGTTGAGAAAGGGTAAAGTAATATGTAGTATCATGTATCCCTCTAGTACGATTATGATATGATTTCCCTGTCATATGTGATTATTGACTTTTAATTATGATGATTTTAAAATTGACAATCATATGATATGATGTCATATATCATATGTCATATGTCATATTGTCCCTGACATATGTAATTTCATCCCCTACATCCACCATGCTGACTGTAGGAGGTCTTGAAAACAAAACACCTTGGGATAAGTCCAAGAGTCAAAGTCATGAAACAAATCGTTCGACATTACCTAGATAGGGGGGATGAACATAATTATCCATTAATATCCATTATACTGATAGATATCTATCACACATAAACACGTTTATAGCCTAATTGTAAACCAAAAAACAGCTATTTGGGTTTGTGGGATGAGATGAACATTTAAATAACCATCAATAATTCACCATCATTTGCCACAGTTATGGTCATTTATCAGTTATAAGTACTAAGAAGTCACCCCATTTATAGAATGTATAGTCCCATAGAAATAACCAGACATAACTGGTAAATGGCCATAACTGCAGCTGTTCTTTGAAGACCACGATACCAGGGTTTTCCGAGAAATCGTGGAAACATGTTTACCACGGACTATTCATCCCTTCAAAAGGATAGAACACGAATTATTAGTTCACAATTTTGTTACCCTCTGGTCATTTAACATAGCTACTGCCCATTGATTTTGATATAACATGGTGATTCTCCGCAGCTTTGTTATTTTACCAGAGTAGGATCTTTATTTGGACTTACTTTTTCAACGGATGTTATTTTAAATGCGAGCAGATTTATCCTCCTCCACAAGACATCATGTGTGAGCGATCAACCCATACAGTTGTATGTACCGACCATCAGAGTCATTGCACCCGCTGTATGGCTCTAGATGTTTAGAAATGTTTAGAAGGCAAATGCAAGCAAATATGTTTCTTCAGTATCGGTAGTATCGAAACCAAGTATTTCAAACATGTTCTGCCAATCTTGATTCTAACAATGTCACGATATTTCATCCACTTCTCTTGGCATGCGTCCCAAGTATGTTAAATAAAACACTGCCAAACAGCCATTCCATTCCAAGGAGGTGCCAACAAACTGCACAACAGAAACACACCTTGCACGGTGCTGAAGAATTTAACCTTCCTGTAGTTTGAAGCTTTGCTGTCCCAAAGGGATTTGCAAGGCGAGGCTGGGGCAGACAGGTTCGTTTAGGGGTCAAGTCCCTAAATATTCTCAGGATGTGTGCTTTTTTTTGGCAGGTTTTGCCATCTTATTTTGGTATAAGTTTGTCTATATCCATCCATACGTATTTTTTAGAATAGTGGTCATGGATTGTATATCGATCCATATCAACTTTTCCAAGTTTGCTCCATATCCATCCACACGAATATATATATATATAATATACATATATATATATAATATATATAATACATATATAATATACATAATATATATATGTATTGAGGAAGGGATTCGCATTGCTCCAATGTTTTTTTATTTTGGTATGTAACGGTACGAAACCTGTAATTTTTCACGCCTTGCACATCGCCAGGGTCTCCACACGCTAAGTTTGTTGCTTGATGTTGCTTGATGTTCACGACTTCGATTTTTTTTTATATCCATGAAATATACAGAGCAGTTGACCTGTAAGCAAATTTTTCACAGTTATCGGCCCTGGGCCCTTTCTTTACTGGATCAGTGAGGCACCATGCATCGATTTCCGTCATGGGGGTACCCCGGTTACCATCATCCATGTGATTTTTCATAGGGTTATCCCTCATAATTCCCTCATAAACCATCCAGCGTTTTTGGGGAACCCCCATGACTATGGAAACCCCCGGAAATCCCTACTGCAGAAAATTAATGAACATTGATCATATGGTTATGATTGGTTATGAAGTTACCCTTGGGTAATCAATCATAGCAACGGAAAATCCCGGATTTTAGGAATGATTTTTGCAGCTCTTTTCATCAACCTCCATTTTCATCGGGGATTTTCCAGCCAGCCACGTTTACCGGAGAGTATAGCCAGTAACAACTGGTTGGTGGTTTGGAATATTTCTTTCCATATATTGGGAATAATCATCCCCAACTGACTTTCATATTTTTCAGAGGAGTTGAAACCACCAACCAGATAATAGTAAACTATGATTAGTTAAACCCCAAAGAATCCCATGAGAATCCATTAATATAGATAATAATCCATTAATATATATATATATAGTAGTTATATATAGCCATTAACAACCTCTTCATCCCCAAGCGTTGGAAGCTTCGGCAGGTTCTATGAGGTGCACCTTATGGCTCCTCTCGTTGCTTTTCACTGCTCAGGCCTGGGCCAATTTGGGGCGAGAGCGCTTTGTGGTCAACGATGGTCAACGAGCAGAATCGTGGAAAAAACCCGCAGATCTGTACAGTTATGGTCATTTATCAGTTATAAGTACTAAGAAAACCCCATTTATAGAATGCATAATCCCATAGAAACAACCAGATATAACTGGTAGCCATGGCCATAACTGTAAGATCAAGTCTGAGGATCTCATGTACCAAGATCCTTGTTGATTAGTTATGAGGCTTTCTGACCTATCTGAGGGCTCATTCCGGGCTATTAACTGAGCCAGCAGTGATTGGCCAGCTGTGATGGTTGATATGGAAACCGTGTCAAAGTCGCGTTGTTCCTGTTTCAGTCTCATGTTGCAGTCTTATGCAATATTAATTTTGTACAGCTTGAGCCAACACATGCAAATAAACATCTAAGACCCTATCCAACAACCACGCAGCCTCGGACCTTGTTGTACGCTTCCGCAAAAACGGACCGGTGAAGGAATAGGGGTTGGAAACTGAGATACAAATGATTCATCGGCGAGGATCCAACATGTACGGCACAGTTATAGATGACAACAAAAATGTGAACTGTTTTTCCCTGGTAAATTTCTTGGGAGTTACCCTCTGGTAATTCAACGTAGCTATTGGAAATTGCCATTGAAATAGTTGATTCACCTAATCCCATCACCCTTATAATATTATAAACACTCCAATTGCATGGTCCCAACAAAATGTGGAAATTCCATGAAATTCCCAATAAAAAACATGGTTTCCCATGGTTTCTAAGGCGGTGTTTGATACCATTTAGAGTTGATTCACTTATTAAAAATGGTGGTTTTCCATAGCTAAGTTGGTCACAAGATGACCCCTGGGAGTTGGAGGTGCCCTGGCCAGAGATTATATTTACTACTCTAATGATGTATAGAGGAATGATATCAATATATCTCAATTATATATATACATTATATACTTAATTATACTATATATATATATAACTAGACTTATAAACTCTTATAAATCAACATTATATATACTTGTATACATTGTATGCTTAATTGTACTATATAAACATTAGTGGAACTGCAGCCCCTCGATGAGTTGGACAACTTTTTGGATGGAGATTCCTCGATGAAAAGCCGAAAAGGGGCCGGAATAGACCTTCCAGTTGTACCCTGAAAATGGATGAACATGCATTTCTGGTCCTTTGAGCATTGGAAAACATTGGAAAAACAATGTTAAACATTGGAAAAAACATTGGAAAAACCATGTTTAACTCCAGCATTTCTGGTCCTGTTTTGCATTTTCTCGGGGTAGTTGGAGGGTGGCAGGAAAATCGTGTGATCCGCCTCAGCCCTCCGTGCAGGCATCATATCAAGGTGTGAGTAATGTACATTTGGCCACTTGGCTGTAGTTTGCAATGGCACTTGTGTTTAAGAATCTAAATGTATATATATATATACCCGATATATATATATATATTTATCTATAGATCTATAAATCGGATTAGATATCCATTTTTGATGGTAAAAGTAAAATCACAATGTTCAACCATGGTTTCTATCATCAACCGGGGCCCACCTTGTAATTTTCTGTGGGCTTATGAAGCCAGTCATGCAAGTCGTGGGCGCGAATCGGCCTGTCGTAGAACCACGTGGGGAAATGTTGTTGTTTTCCCCATATTTGAATTTCAGCTTAGCATATTTCAGGGTATCTCTTATGTTGTATCGTTTTCAAACATTTCAAAACAAATCGAGAGTTACAAATTATTTTGTACATTTTACCACGTTTTTGTTGGTATGTGGAGGGTCTAGGTATAGAGTTCACATGGGTGTTGGCTATGTCAAGTTGTGTTTCAGTCAGTCAGTTTGGCTCACACATCTTCCGTTTGGAGATGCCACAGTGTTTGTTCATGTCAATATTCCGCAGTTTGTTGACCACTCATTCAGCATATCTTACCTTCATTTATCTATAGTATAAATTTATATTTTCCAATCTATGGATTAGCAAAACTCAAAATATCATAACATTCCCAGCGCTCGTAAGGGATGTTTGTATCCATGCATCTACGGGATATCTATTGGTTTCTGCGAGTGACTTGCAAGTGGTATAAACGTTGGCAAATACCCATAGACCTTGCTGGGTTTGGTGGTGGACCTCTTCATTCTTGGGTCCTTTCAAGTCACCAGTCTGTACCCAGTCCACTCGATTAGACCCATCATTCATGGACACGAGGGTTGCTTAAGATGGGGGACCCCAAAAGCATCCAAAATTAAGCAGGTTTAATAGGAAAGCCATGGGAAACCAATAGTTTTGGGGTGCCCCAGTTCAAAGAAATCCCTGTATTATCTAGTGTCTGATAATTATCCACTTTGTGACGCTATGTCCACCACTTCAACGATGCCCATTTCACAGAGGAAGACACCAACGACGTCTTCGGCATGGTCACTGGAACTATCAGTTGCTTAGCCCAGTTTCTGGGGAGTTTCAACAGAAACTGGGGAGATGCCGAAGACAAGTTGTTTCAGGTAAAACAATGGTAAAATAAACCACACAAATGACTGGAAATGGTAGTCACATAGGACCTATAAAAATCGGGTTGATGGTTTCAAACATGGCTTTTATTTTCCATTTCATGAAAAAGAGATGTCATCCTTCCTATTGACTTTCACTCCATCATGTTTCAAGATGGGCACATTGCACCACCAACCAGATTATTATTAACCATCATTAACCATATAATAACCATATTTTAACCACTATTAACCATTATTAGCCATTTGTAAATGAGGGGATTTACCATTGTACAAAGCCTGGGATTGTGCGTTTATGACATTGGGGATTAGCCACCTGATTTCCGGTGAATCCACCATGACTGGGGAATTTTCCAGGCCGGGTATATCACCATGAATCACCATTGATCACCATAAATGTTCATGATTAACCACTATTCATATCTATAAAAATAACATAAAGTAACTATTAACCATTATTAATGTTTTTTTTTTGTGAGGGGCCTAAAGCAAATCCAAGATCAGAAAAAGTGACGACTGGAAGCCACCAAACTCATAGGGGGGGTACCCTATCTTCAGACAATCCCACGGGTTTTAGACAAAGCAACAGATTAGAGTATCAGTATTTAAAGATACCTCCCTGAGCCTCCCTGCATAATAGGCGCGGGTTTATGAACTTGGGGTTGACATTGCAGTACGCTCTAAGGCTTCATTCCTAATATCAATGATTGCTGTAGGGATCTATTCCAATACTATATGAAATATCCCTTCTGATTGCTGGTTTGGAACATGTTTTATGTTTCCATATATTGGAAATAATCATCCCAACTGATTTTTTTCAGAGGGACAGGTATACCACCAACCAGCATTACTTGTTTTGATCACCAATGAGTTGTATCCATATGGATATGGTCTACCTGGTTGACAAGATCAGTACTCATTCATCTAATTTCTTCGATACATCCATGAAGTAAATCCCAGCTAGTTACCCATATGCTCCATGTATATTGGAATATTTACCAACATTTGCCCCATAAATCACCCAGATGCAGGTAAATATACTATACATGGAGCATATGGGTTATACTTTCCTGGTTGAAACTATCCGTAATCAAACATAGCAACGGACACAATTTTCAAGCAACCATTCGATGACTTTACGGAGAAACGAAGCCTTCGTTTTTTTGGGGAGATTTCCGGTCGTCAACCATGGAGCTGATGACCATATTTGGGATGATCATCCTCATGTCGACTGATATTGTTTAGTCACTGTTTCCTTTTTGTTAAAAAAAAGAACATTGAAGAAATTAGTTCGGTATATCTACCATAAACCCAACTTGGTATACTTGGTGAAATATGATGTGAGCTATAAATCTATAAACCAGTGATTTCTGATTTAGCTCACTGGGGCATCACCAACCATGCATCAGACAAAGCACAGTAACTCATGGATAAATCGCCTATTATCAATCCTAAGTTTTTGAGAGTTCAATCTCCATTTTTCCCCGTTTTTTGGGTGACATCCCAATTGTTTCCAGCATTGCTCTCAAATCCCAAGGTTCATCAATTTTCACCAATTTCCCACTTCTTGTCCGTTAAATCTCCATTGTTTCCCACCCCTGTGGTTCACCTCTTGATGGTAATCTCACACGCAGGTTGGACCTTGCCTGACAACATGACCAACGCACCTCGACTGAAAAATCATGGGATTGGTCAAGATGATCCAGTGAATCCAGCATGTCACAGCCGAAAAATCCCGGATATTTTTGACATGATGTAACCATCAAAACTTGGGGAATAATGAGGATTTTTCACTCGCAAATTTCATGGATTTCCATTGGGATTTTGGTGATTTTGGTGATTTTCACGATAACTCATGTTAGATTTTAACCTTAAGCTAACTGCGTTTTTTTGGATGTTTATCCCATATGCTCCATGTATGGAATATTTACCAACATTTACCCCATAAATCACCCAGTTTTGTAGGTAAATATACCATACATGGAGCATATGGGTATGGTAGGTATAGATGGCTTTATAAAAACATCAACTTACAGCGGGCTCGCCAGCCATCGTGCGATGTCGCTGGATCCGTGGACCTGCGACCACGATATGGTATCTACTAAGAATCTACTACCATACTATACATATTATGTATAATATATATATTTATATATTATATATAAATCTAAATATTTATATATATATATATTATATGAATTATAGTATTAGAGTTCATAATACTCTACTATTGAGCTGTGCGGACGCCCGGCACATATTTCGTTTATGTTGGCTCTATCTACAGTGGTGAACCGCTGGATTTGGGGTTTCCTACTTTGGGACCGCCAAATCGGAGCTCCGGTACCCAAACATGGGCTGGAAAATCATCCATAGACATAGCTGATTTTCCCATGAAAAACACCTTGATTTACCACCTGGCTATTTGTTACATAGCCATGGAAAATCACCATGCTATTAATAGGTAAACCATCTATTTCTATGGGCCATCTATACCATGGCTATGTTAGTCATTACCAGAGATTTTTTTTGGAATTTTCGATTGCCATGGTGGATTCCGTCGGCTCCATTTTTGCTTGAGAAACTGGTGGCTCGGGAATTTTCCCATGAAAGACGGTGCTTTGGGTAACCAGCAATCTCAATCATTGGTCATATAATGTCATATATATATAATATATATATATGTATATCTATATAGTTAATGTAAAATCAATCCCTAAATCTTATCAAAAACATTGAATAAATATTGGTCATATAATAAATATTGGTCGCTTAGACAATAAACTAGGTCAATCTTACATGGATACTTTAATCCTTTAGTCTTTTGGTATTTATGGGAATATCTAAGAACCAGCAAAGAATTCAATTTGTTGCAGGGTATCTAAGATTGGCAATGTAAATGTCTTCACGATCAAATCCGTAGGGTTTTCTATGCTTCCAGGGGCCAGGAGCCCTTCGCAGGTCGTGTCCTTTAAGCCTTATTTTGCCGTGGACTACGACAGTCCCTCGGGCAACGACGATTACACCCACCAGTATGGAATGGTCGCCTGGCCGCAGGGTGAAGCCGTGAATTTAGAGAAGAGCAAATATATATATATATATATAAAATAATATATATATATATGATATATGTATTATATATATATATGTTTGTACATATATACGATTAGACATGTGTATGTATATATATATATATAGCTTGAACATGCCCACACTTTGAATGTTCATTGCAACGAACCAGTCTGTATCAACTCACAAAATTGAAACTTGGATCAATGGATTGGTTGGAAAATCGGAACACCGGAAACCAGAGTGATTTTCGCAGTAAAGGTTGGCTTTTCTGTAAATTTGCCCTTACCCTCTGGTAATTTAACATAGCTATGGAAAATCACCATTTTTAATGGGAAAATCCACTATTTCTATGGCCATTTTCAATAGCTATGTTAGTTTGCCAGAGGGTAAACCATTGATTGGAACGTTGGAACATCCTTTTATTCTGCTGCATTGCTGTCCTTTTTTTCGGACAGAATCATGTTTTGCCGATGGCCTGATCTATGGCCCCATAGATGCAGTTTTTTTTTTTCGGATGGATTGCAGTTGAAGCCCTTCACCAATGATGAATGACTAAATGGGGTTATACACTCCAATTTATGAGGATATAAATGACTAATATATGACTATATAATATATGACTATATAATATATGACTAATATATTAAAATTTATGACTTCTATATGACTAATATATGACTAATATATGACTAATATATGACTAATATATGGCTAATAACTCAATAAATGACTAATATATATATATATAATATGACTTATAACATCTTATAACTGGCATTTTGTGCCATAACTGTGGATGGGTCAAAACCCCTGGAATGGACAGCTTGTGGACGTGGATGCTTTCTCTCCTACTCTCCGTGTTGCAGAGAGAAGATGGGTTGTTGCCCCCTTAACAGTTGTTACAGGTCCCCTGGTGATCCAAATAGTTGGAATTTATGGCTGTTCATCTCTGGAAATCAACTTATAGGTGAGCAGTGGCTGCTAAATCCTGTCTGTTCATGATTAATTCCGGGACTATATATATATATATATATGACTTATATATATATATGACTTATAATGTTCATACTTTACTTTTTATTTGGGAATTACAAGATTTTCATCATCAACAACCTATCAGGCTGCAGGCCAGCTGCCGGTAACAAGGAAAAGCATAGGATCTACGGATTATATCTAGATGAATTTTCACTTGGAGGATCATCCCACTTAGGTTGGAGGGATAATAACCATCCGGTTGGTGGTTTCATATCATCTATTGATTAATAAGGACAGGGGTTTAGAACGTTTAGAATCATAGATTGGATCATCTATTACTAGTGGTTACTGGGTTACTGTACTGGTTGGTGGTTTCAAACATTTCTTATTTTCCATTTCATACATGTGATGTCATCCTTCCCATTGACGAACTCCATCATTTTTCAATATGGTTAAGTCACCACCAACCAGCCATAAGAACCCTGGTTAGTAAGTCCCCCTAACCGTTGAGTTTTCCCATTTACACCGTGGGTGAACTAATTCCACTTACTACGAAATTTGGTGATCCTCCAAATAAGGACCTCTGCCTACCATGTGGGGCCCCGCTAGTTATAAGTTGGTTTATAAACCCCATGAATACTATAGATATACCTACCATAAAGCATACTTAAGCTAGGCAAATAAACCAACTTAGCTATCTTGGGGGCCCCACATGGTACCATGTTGATCTAGTGATATAAACACGACGAATCGTCTCAAAGAAATGGAACATGTCCCATTGCCGGCCGTGTAGACGGGATCATTCCAGGGATCATTCCAGGGAGAAGTAGTCAAACGTGGCTGGCCCTTTTAAATGCCTTCTAAATCGGAGATGTTTTTTGGAAACTCATTAAAAAAACGTGCGTTTTTTTAGTTGGGTCTCTGTGAAAATAGGGTAGACAACGATAATCCATGGCCATTGAATAGGACAATGATGATCAACCTTTTTATTTTTAGGGATACTCTCTGGTAAACTAACATAGCTAGTTGATTTACCTATTCAAACATTGGTGATTTTCTATTGTGTTTTTGTATGTTTAGTATGTTTACCAGAGGGCACTTTTTCCAGACAAACCCATCTCAGCAGTTGACATTCGAGGCTGCTGGAGCCCAATCCAACACCATACAAGAAGTGGCTGCACCTGCCACAGAGTCCCTTGGCGGAAAGCTGGAGATTAAGCAACAAGGAACACTTAATGCTAGGTAAATCTTAGATTGGTAGAAACTAATCCTGTAGTCTTTTGGTATCAACGGGATTATCTACGTTCACCAGCTAAGTGTTTTTGTTTTTGTGATTGGCCACGAATGGTGGTATAAATGGAACACGAATGGGTTTATAATGGTGATATCTAAGGTCTTGGGAGCAAGCTGAAATAGATCAAACATCGGGAATTTCACCACTCACGAGGGAGCGACCACTAACTTGGAAGGCCAATACGAGTTTCGGTTGATGGTTTCATCTAAGTGATCTAACCCATATGCTCCATGGTGCTGGTATATTTACCTACATTTGGGTGATTTATGGGGTAAATGTTGGTAAATATTCCATACATGGAGCATATGGGTAGGTGATCTATGGATGTTTAATTTCCGAGATGTTCCGAGATGAACAGCCATGTACTGCTTGCATACTGCTTACTATTCTGGAAAGATTCAACGTGAATTCACGTTGAGATTTTCTGATTTTTTGTGGTGTTGGATCTCCCGCATGCGCTGCATGCGCGTTACGATCCCATTACATCCACTGCATTCACGGTTATACCCTCTGGTAAACTAACATAGCTATTGAAAATGGTCATTGATAGTGAGTCTTCCCATTAAAAATGGTGATTTTCCATAGTTATGTTAGTTTACCAGAGGGTATATACATTACATTGATTAGTACACCATTGATATACTATTCACATCCCATTGATATCCCAGTATTTTTTTCCTTTCAATACCACAGTGCAATAGTCCACTCTAAGATATATTCCTGGTTGGTGGTTTCAGACATTTTTTATTTTCCATAATATATCCCATTGACAAATATTTTTCAAGATGGTTAAAACCACCAACCAGATTCCCATTGCATACTATTTCAGTATAGTACACCACTATGCAACAATTACCATATACCACAATACCCCCTGGTAATTTAGCGCCATGGACAAGCCACCATGAAAATCAGATCTGAGTCTTACAGTCAGTATTAAAACACACATATATATATATATACTCAGTTAAATAAACATAGACCCCGTATGCATGATACCTACATTTAAACATAGACCCTGGTGATCAAATTTGCTAATCTGGGGTCTCTCTTTTCTTGTAACAATGTAAATGGTCCATGAGGGTTCATCCATTTTTCTGATGCATAACCAGAGGGTATCCCATGAGCCCATTCATTGCTTACCTTCTATCAATGGGAGATCTCCAGGATCCTAAAATGGAGGTACGTAAACGTACCATATTTCAGGCCATATTTTGGGGGGATATCCCCTTACATAGGCCTAAAAAATAAGCCTCATATATGGTAGGTACCTCCATCAATTGGATCCTGAAGATCTCCCATTGATTCTACGTCCCGGCGCAGGTTCCATGTGGGGGTGACGGCACCCGGCTATGCCTTCCAGCCCCTTGAATCCCCAAGGGGCCTTGCTGGATGGGCATAAATTTTGGGATTCGCAACACCAGTCACAACTACATGAAAATATTAGCCATGGTTAAATATATTAGCATATATTAGCCATTTAAATACAGTTATATATGGTTATATATGCTTATATATGGTTATATATGGTATATTA